TCCAGGATGTATTTAATAAACAATTGAACACTTTTGGAAGGAGGGACAGTAAAAATTGTCTTGGCCAGTAAGTTTCAACCCCACTGCAAAAAAGTTTAACGCTGAGCCCTGTAAAAGAATCCGAACAAGGACATAGCTTGTCAGATGTAAAGCAACAAACATTCTCGCATATAGAAAACAGTTTGACAGCCGCTCCTCCAGGAAAATGGATTTGTTAACTGTGAGTGAGTGATAAAATCATAAACTTAGACTAGAAACTAGAAATGGGTATTCATTAGGATTTTAAGCTATACTAGTATTCTTTACTACCAATATTCTTATCAGTTGTTTTTTCCCCCATTACTAAATAATAGCTTTTAAAAAATTAAACAATTTATGATGAAATGATGTTTCTAGAGCAGCAACAGTAAAGTTTGAAACAGCAAAGTTGCAATATAAACTCAATCTCCCACTGGAAGCTAAAATGGCAAACATTAACTAACACACCAAGTCACATACTGTCTACTACATAATCGTTAATTTGGTATGCAGTACACACTGATCACATACCATGCTCAGGAAAGTACTACAGCAATATGCATTCTCACATGACTGTCCCAGCTACCACTGAATCAAGATTGTTTATTACAAATGTAAAATCAACAACCTCTTCTACTACTTATGTTTCACAGTATCATTTTAAATTATTAAATCAATATTTTAGTGTTAAACACAGTATGAATATATACATAAAGTTCCTCTTAACTGCACATTAATGTCCTGAGATGTTTCTCATTTTACTGCCATTGCAAAGTCTGAATAAATTCCTGCTAATCTAGTATACATTTGGGTATTTCTCATGTACATAAATCATCATACCATGCAGTTGGAACACACTACATACTCAATTTGACATCATACTTAGCATACTTGGAATGAATATGTTATTTGTATTATGTTAGTCTGCAATTTTGTACACAGCCCATGGCTAATGAGAAACTAAAATTAAAATATTTGGACTTACCAGCTCTGATGTAGAACCAGTTCTCATCACTGGGTGCCAGCTCCTTGTGCTTACCCAACTTGACGAGGTCAACCCAGTCGGGCACCTTCAGTTTTCCTGACCTGTGGAGAGGCAAGAAATGTCAGTGAGAACTAAACCACAACAGGATGCCATACAAATACTTAAGTTTCTAAAATATAGCACTATGTACAACAAGAGGTACAGTGTCATAAAACAAGGATGGAACCAAGTCCACTGAAAACAAGTATAACGTTGTGTAATCACTCGTGGGTGCACAATGTATTGAAATCTTAAGAATAAGATGTGTGGGGAAAACAAGATACTCACTTCTTCAGGAAAGCCGCCAGGGCACGGACAAACTCCTGCTGGTTGACGTCTTTCACTGTGACACCTGGCATCTAGCGTTGTAGATGATATGGAATGTAAAAAGGCAACACATGTAACGTTAAGATACATTAACGTTACATTAGTCACATCTGACATGCACTAGGAATAGACTGAGTTGGGTTCTCCTGATTACGAGAGTTAACAATTAAGCTGTTCACTGGCCGGTGGAAACAACGTGATCTAACGTTACATAGAACACGAGTGAGGAGTAACGTTATCGACATCAGCTGCTTCGACGTTATGGGAACGCCAGACCCGCTCATCTTCACTTTTGATGTCATTACTAAATAGGAAACGCCAGGTCAACAATCCAAGTAGCAAGGGCACAATTTAAGACACATCCATGTGTGGGGGCTCTCGTTTACACAAGTTCAACCGGCATTAGACTCCCTTGGAGCAGGCGATGAGTGCTAAACTAAAGTTAGCTATCGTTACGGGACCCGTCTCAGGATGACCCCAAGTCATAAACCTTTAAAAAAGAAAATTCACTGAGATCCCAATACGCTGCACGCAATAAATGTTTTGGCTAAATGTATATCAACTTTACATAAATGCAATAAATAGTAAGTTAAATAGGGACAGCTAGCCACCAGCTAGCAGGCCTCAACGAGGTAGCATGGGGGCAGCCATTACTAACAGACCTATAGTATGAGCGCAGCATTCAACTAAAATCCTTGCAAAATACAAATATACATGTCTATTAATCTCCCGCAAAGCTCAACCACTTCATTAACAAGTGTGTTATATCCTGCCTGACTACATTTTGAAGGTAAATGCTAAAGATTTAAAGCAATTTAGCGGCATGTAACCGACGACTGAAAATAGCGCTTTACCTTGCTTGTGGACAGCGAAGGGAAGAGGGTGAAATGGGGTTTCCAACCCATGTTAAAACGGGCAAATCACGTTCCATTACGCGAGACTACAGCGTTGTTTTTTCCACCGATTCAGCTCATCACAGTCCACCGACCACATGACAATTGTGAATACTCAGAGAAGCTGAAACAAAATTTGTTGATAATCTTTTTGAGCCTTGGGATAGCCCATAGTCATCCACATACAGCTTTTTACTGTGTTATTACCTTGCACAATTAAATCTAGAATTGTAACGCAAAACGAGAGAGGCAATTATTATTATGTTACATTGAAATAGGCTGTAGGCTACATTCTGGTGCCACAAACACTATCTTTAAATTGAGTGCACACAAAAAGCATACATTTATCATTTATTTTAATAGAGTTAACTTATTATGATTCTGATTGTGTAATCTGCATTCACCATGCATTCCTCAGAGTCTCCACTTCTACAATTAACCAATAAACATAGGCTACTGTAATTAATTGCAGCAGTTTTTGATTTGTATTGTCTGTGTGTTTTTATGAAATACGGCTCCCTCGACTGGGCTCAGTGTTCCCTTGCCTGGAAATCAGCCCTTTTGGCAGACAGTGCGAGAATGATTGTATAAACATTGATATGCTTGGGTGATTTTTTGGAAATATAGGCATATTTTCCAGGCTATAACTGTCAGCCCTACAGTTTGATTAAGGTCATTTGCATGTAAAGTCAACTTTTTGAGCAAACAACACTTAGTTTTCAAGCTCCAGGCTTTGTTTGTTTGTCAGTTTTGCTGGAGAGTACACTATTATGTATTATTAAATGGACTATCTAAGATCACAGGAGGAATAACATGGATATTGTATAAGCCTAAAGGTATATTGTTTATTGAGGGCATGCATTCCCTCTGTATCCTAGCAAAAGTTCATACACTAATGCTGCATCCTTATTTTATTTAATGGAACAATGGCTTTAAATAAGACTGTGAAATGTCTTTGATATCTCTGCTCATCCATATCACCTCCAACTCATGCCCACTCCATCAAAAAGCACATTGCCTTCAGAGTTGCTTCTTCTTTTACTTTGTTTACTTTGTCTCTCTCAAATGAAGAGACAATTGGATGATTCAAAGTAAATCGGAGTGAGAAGGTTTTTGCAATGAGAACAAAGAATAAACCCTACTTTTGTGTGAGGCCATGCTCATGTGTGTATGTTTGTGTGTACCTTATTTACATTGTTCAGTGGCTGGCAGAGGTGGTGTTGCCCTTTGCACATTTCCAATGGAAAGGGCAGCCATGCTCCAACATTGACACAATTGATATGTTTGCAGAGACAGGAGAGAGAGATAGAAGGCAGGTGGATAAGCAGAGGTTTATGAATCAGGTTTATACTCTGTCAGTGGGGGCAGACAGTTTAGAGTAAGAGGTGAGAGGGAAAGATAGAGATACTGGAGGGAAATAAAAAGGCAGCCAAGTCATTCAGTGAATATATTATAGAGTTTTGTATAAACTATCTGTGTCATCTCAGGGCTTCACAACAGGTAACTGTACCTTTTTTTCTTAACTTACTTCTTTGGCATTATTATCATTGTCAACATCCAGGCACCACTGACCATGCTTAAAGGTTTTGCCTTATATGTTGTTTCAAAGAGCTTAATTGATTAATTAAGGCAATTAATTACACTGGGAGTGACCAGCAACCAATTTGAATTGCAAAACTCACACAGGGTGGATTAAACTCCATTAATTACTTCAGTAAATCAATTTAGCTTAGGCCCTTCAAGTGGTGAGACAGGAGACAACTGTGTAAAGTGATTATGAAGTGGTATAAAGAGGTTATTTCGGGAATGATTGTTATGGAAAAGTGACAACTAACACCAAATGTTCTGAAAGGGTCAAACTAATTACGTGGAATGGACAGGTGTCACATTGCTGCTGCAAATCTGCTTTTTCAATATTTATCTACCCTACTCTATGCAAGACTATTGTTTGAAAATGCACTAAAATTAGCTGCCAATCATTTTTTAATGCATTTGCTGGAAATCATTGGTGTGGGAGTGTGCTCTTGTGTGATTGTGAGCGTCAGTGCTCATGTATTTATGCATAAATGTTTAGGCCTATTTGTGTTTCAGAGAGTATGAGTGTGCAAATGATGCATGGTGGGCCAGAGGGAGAAGAGAGGCAAAACAAAGACCAGAAAAAGAGAGTGTTAACAGTATGTTGCCACCCAGCTTGGTGCTTGTTGCTCTGTGTTTGCATGGCGCTCACATCCTCAGTGGAGAAGTTCTGTCAAATCTGGTCTGGCCTGACCTTTTCACTCTCCAGGCACGTTTACAGCTCTCCTATACCTATCAAAATATCTACTCTTTCCCTGCCCGTCTCTCTGCCCCTAGCACAAACCTTCATCATTCTCTATCCTTCCTCATCTGCACTTTCTCACTCTCTTGCCTTGACCTACACCCCTATACTTAACCTCAAAACTTCCTCCACTCTTTGTCACTCCTTCTCATTTGTATTCTTTCGGTTCTTTGTCTTTCTCTATGTCCGAACACTGCTTTGACAATGCAAGTTAACACAGTAAGGAAAGAGCCGTGTGGGAAGAGGCAGGAGTGAGAGTGAATGAGGCTGTATTTACATAAGCATTGATACATTTTTCTGTAATTTTCTGCTCTTTCACATCATTATCAGTAATTACTTTTTAAACTGTAGTCAAATATATTATTTGCATTTATCAGTCTCTGTCTCGCTCTCTGTCTTTTTTTAAAAATCTCCCCCAGACATGGAATTCATGTGGCTGTACTCCCTGTGCCAGTGCATCCTATCTGTATTTGTAATTGTGGTGAGCGTGAGGTTATGCATGGCGGTCAGTGGCAGCAGTACAGTGGCTGACATCCAGGAGAGAATCCAGGGTGCAGGGCCCCAACTACGGAGTGTCACTTGTTGTCTGCGGCTGTGCCTGGGTTGGGTGGGGGCTGTAGGGGGTGCAGTCGCGGTTCCTGTGACCGTGCTACTCAACCTGCGAACGCCCCAGTGTCTGTACACCTGCATAACCTTGGTGTGCTGCCCCCTGCTGGTCAGGCAGTTTACCATGTTCCTGTTGATGCTGCTTACACTGGACAGCCACCTGCAGCATCACTTGGCAGACAGGTGAGCGTAGAAGAGGGTTAAATCAGTTTAAGCAGTAGAAGAATAAGTATAGATTGTGAGTTTAAGTGTCAAATATTAACATAGTAAAAATTAAATACCAATTAGATACCTTACATAATATTTTTCTCTGAAATATAATAAAGCATCACATACTGTAAATTTCAATTACATATAATGCTTCAATATTTTCTTGTATGTGTGGGAGAGGGTGAATATGTGGGTGGCAAAAGTCAACCAACACTCTCAACCATGCTTTCATCTGTAAAGGAAGAAAATCTATATAAGGTAAAAGAAAAAAAAGCAGCAATCATGTCACGAAGTGCCATTGTATGCTGTTTGTTCAGTGCTGCTAAGGCTTTTTTTTATTACGCATTTCTTATACTGCCATCTGAGAGAGACAGGGCGAGTAAATATCAATAGGCTGGGGCTCTTAGATGTTTGATTGACAGTCACCTACAAAACCAGCCTTTCGGTGCAAGAAAGTCAGTATTATGTCTATTTTAAAAAAGACAACTGAAAAAATTAGCCCCTCACTTCAGGCCTCCCTCCCTCCCAAAGCCAGAAAGTAAACCAGAGGATGTAATTAAGATTGGATTTTTGTTCATTCAGAACTATTTTCAAGAGCAGTCCTTGTGGCCAATTGAGATGCTTACAAATAGTAGATATGTGTAGATATAGTATAGCTGTTAAAACAGATCAACAGCTCTTTAGCACCTCTTGCAAAAGTCAGAAATTAATTTAAAAAATGAAAATGCCCCTTTCTTGATAGGACGAGTTCTTTATTCTTGGTGCGAGATGTGTGTCCAGGCAATGTAGAAACTTTATATCTGCTCATGTTCATTTCCTTCTTTAAGGCATTTGAGAACAGTTTTAGTATGCCAATCAAATAATTTTGTCCACTTTGTGAATGCCAGGTACTCCTCAGTGATGACCCGTCAACGAGCTCTGTGTGTGGTTCTGCTGTGCTGGGTGGGCTCTGTTCTGTCCTCCTTCGCCCAGTTCATCAGCTCGGACGTCCTCGACACCTGGAGACGTGGTGGGACTGGTCCGGGCACAGCTGGGCTTGGGCTGCCTGGCAACTGGACAACCTCTTTACCCCATCTTACCCCTTCCCCTAAGTACCACCATGACCGCAAGATCATTGGAAAGTACCTTCCATACGGAGGATTCCTGTCAAAGTTTTATGTGGAAGACATGCACAACTTCACCTACGCTGAGATTCACAGCAGCCACTGGGGAGTGTGCGCCCCTGACAACATTCTCAGTCCCCAGTTCCTAGTCTATGTCCATGGCATGACGGTGTTCTTGCTCCCCTTGCTTTGCCTGCTGGCCATTTACCTCGATTTGCTATGCATCAAGCCCAGGAAGACTCCTTTTAGTCATACAGATCCCCTGAATAAGGACTCCTGCCGGGTCCGTTCTCTGTCTCTGTCCCTCTCCCTCTTAGTTGTGCTGTGCCTGCCGCTCCATATTATCCATGCTCTCTTGCTTTTCACCCCCAGTACCAATCTTCCTGCCTGGGCTCATGCTGTTGCCGTGTTCCTCTTCCAGCTGTACAGCCTCGTGCCCCCGATCCTCTTCACTCCTTCTAAGAAAAAAGTTGGGGAAGAACGAGCATCCTTTCCTCTTTCTGTTCCCCACATTCCACCTGCAGTAACCCCATCCAGAGGAAAATCTGTCCGTATGGCCCTGTGTGAGGCAGTGCAGGCAGCTCCATGGGCTTCAGCCAAACACTCCCTTAAAGCCAAAGTGTGCCCAGAGGTCTGACTTCTTGACCAAATGGAATCTGGAAAAAATGAATCTGAGCTGTTCACCGAAAATTTGTCATTATCTTCAAGCAGTATGGCATATTTTCTTTAAACAATGTTCCTTCCATTTTTGTGTGTATAAGTAAAATCTAGTTTTTGAAACAAACAGCTTATGGCCCAAAGAAAAATAAATACAGCACATTCCTGTTTGTTGTTGGCTTTTTAACGAATCAGCAACCTTGTTCACAGGCATTATGAATAACTCGCAAATGAAAAGGCCAGTTAATTATCAGGTCCCACACCAAATGTCAGTGAGAAAATTAAGTCTCCAGCTGTTGACTGCTATACTGATCACAGATGTCTGTTTTCTTTGACTGCTCTTCCTATGGGTCTTATTCTAAGCCTGTTTTAAGTGTCTACTAAGCCAACCACCAGTGATGTAGATATATGAGTGACAGCATTTAATTAAACATTCAGTAATAACATAGTAGTCCAGAGAGAACGCAGCATTGTAGGGAAAACATAATTAACCTGGTTATGACACAATCTTCATAGCTGTTTTGATTAAACTTGTAATACAATGTGATGCTCTTGTAATAAAAAGGGCCTTGCTCACACTAATTGGATTGTTCATCTTGAACTGAGTTGGTTTAAGAAATCACTGATGGAGTTAAAAAGAAGAAATCCATCTCTTTCTGCGTGGAACATGAGCATGACACTTTCGCTCTTCTTTTTTCTGTTTCTCATCAACCTAGAACAGCTCTTCCTCGCCCTTCTTCTCTGAGTACCTCTCTTGTTGCTCTTTTTACAGATCTTGTGTCTATTTTTTTCATTTATCTTTTTATTCATCATGTCTTTCCCTGCTTTCATCTCCTCTTTATGTACTCAGAAAATACACAGTACAGTATGTCTTCCTTCACTACAAAAAAAAAAAAAATTCCCTGACTGGAACACATTATTGATAAGAGAAAAGTGAAAAAACTAAATTTCCCCAGCCTCCCTGGCTTGGCTGCCCATTCAATTGTTCTGTCTGCCTCTCTGCTTTCTGGTTATTCAACACATCCAGGCACCTCAATCAATGCCTCATGCTGTACTGCCACTCTGTACACACCTCCTTGCCTCGCTTGGGTCACACTGCCAAGACCCGTGAACATAAGCTGTGTTCACCAAGTCATTAGGGTTGGCTTCACAGCTGGATAACACTGTGTCCAATCCACCACAGAGCCACCACAAATATAAAGAGTTTTGTTTGGATGGACTGGGATATCTACTACAACTCGTAGAAATGAAATATGACTGTCATAAATGGGTCATAAACGGGGAATTCTCTAATGTGGACCCGTTCCAGGACGTTAATCGGTGAAACTAGCATCAGGGAGAAGACGCGTGAGTAATTCATAGACTTCTTGCAGTCATTACTGGCCAGACTATGTAACATTCACTGCATGTCATAAACTTAGGGAGGAATATTGGCTTGTTCCGATCTCATTTCTGCTTATGTCTATTGATTTAATAATCACCCTCTATGATCACTGTGATGGTGCAATTGTCATCAGGTCCAGCAGCTGAATAGTATCATTGCTATGGTCAGATAATGGACGGTTTCCCAGGATGCAACAGAGCAAGCACAGCATTAGCAACTACCCATCAATAAGTCATGCTCATTTGAATGTGATTAAAGTCTTCTTTTATGGAAAACATACAATATAGAGCCAGAGTGAAAAAGGTTTTTCTTTGCAGAAACAACAGTATCAAACAACCAACAAACACAACCAGATTGAGTGCTGTAAACCCTGCAGGAAAACAACAGATGAAACCTTTGTTTGAAGGACATACACTTGTCTGTTTTGAAGACATATAAAGGGGCAATATTCTCAGTTTTATTACTCATCTACCATGGTGGGCCTGATAGCAGGAGCTTCCTTCGCTACCTTTGCGTCATCATAAACTGAAGATATGCCTGGTGTTGAATTGTGTGTGTGTGTGTGTGTGTGTGTGTGTTAGAATTGTTTGTTGGCCGAAGTGTCAACTCATGCTGGTAGCGCCTGGCAAGTCCATTACTTTGATTGCCGTTTGACAATCTGTCTTTATGACAGCCGACCATGGAGCCTTGCCATCGATAGAAGAGAAACACATCGATCTATCACCCGGTGACCTCCGGCGGCTTTCAAATCTAGCCCTGCGCACAGATGGACATGTTGAGTGCTTCTCGACAGAATCGGGTATTGATTGCGTGGAAGTTAATGGCAGAGTCATATTTTTCTGTGTGCATCTGACTCAACCCTCCTGTCACCCTTTCGTCCCCACTATCTGTTCTTATGATTCATTAGCTACGCCACAGAACCTTCTGTTTTGTTTATTCTATCTATTTGGAATGAGCTGCCAGTTATAACTGGTTCCGCCGCCTTCATCTTTATCTTCCCTCCTATAACTCCACTATTCCCCATTGATCTAATCATATGCTCCATCTCCTGTTCTCTTTTCACAGGATTTCAAAAACAGCACCTGCTAATTACACAGTAAACACATTCAAAAACCAGTCTGATCCCAAAGGTTATTTTTGAATTCTTTTTTATTTTGTCGTGCTTTGTATCTTTCCCCTATAAAGAAATAGTTAGCTATATATCAACAATGACACATGGACTCTAAAATAAACAAGAGTGAAAGACAGGAGAAGAGACGACTAGGCACAGGAGACGAAGAGAGAGAAAGACTGGGAAAGAGAGGAAAGGTAAGAGTGAAAAAAGACAGCAATTTCTCTACAGTCAAACAAAAAACAAACCATGGGAAGTGTACATTTCTTTAACATTTACAATTGTAATAATAACAACGGCAATAATAATAACATTAACAACAATCATAATTGTTCAAATAATAATAATTAATAAAAAAGCAATAAGACCTCTGGTTTATCATAAAGACAAATGATTTTTTTATTCTTTTCTTTATTTTCTTTAAAGTTCACTGGACAGTAGTTTGTTCGGCTTTTCACCTCTATAGGCTAATATTCTGTGTTAGTATAGTTGCTTCATAATGCGTTTCAATAGTAAACTTTTTTCTTAATTCTTAAAAGTTTCCTTTACTTTATGTTGCTGTTCTTTTTTATACAAATAAGGAATTCAAAGATATGTATACTTGTTCTGTCAACATGTTTACTGTATGTATGAATGTGCGTGTGTATCTGCATATGTGTGGTATCATTCAGAAAAATATCCATCCATTTATTTCTCATTCATTCCTTTTGCTATCACTCCCCTTGTCCTACTTATTAAGACTTTTAAACCTTTTTTTTATCCTCTTAATGACATTTTAAAATAATTACGCTTTTATTTAATGCCTTAGCAAGTCATATTCCTTTCTTCTTTGTCGGGAACACAGCCCAATACTAATCCTTTCATTATTAGGAGCCAACAAAGGAGGAGCGATAGAGGGGGACAGACAGAGAGAAAGAGAGATATAAGGGAGAGGGGAGAGGATGGTAACAGGTGAACAGAGAGAAAGGGGGCGATAGTTACAAGGAAAGAGAACTGCCTTTTCCTCACTGTTGCAGCGAGGGGGGGGGGGGTTCATTTTTCCAGCCAAAATTATTGGCAGGCCACCCAACAGGGATAGAAAACAGGACAGTTAGCCTGTTCATATAGTATGGACACCTCCAGTGTTGTTAGGGAATTATTTATGAGTTGCGCTCTGTGGGCAAGATACTTTGGCAATTGCAAAAATTTTAATTTTCTAGCGTCTACCGCTCAATAGCTCCTGGTCAACTCCCCCCCCCGCCAACACCCCCACCACTGCTCACACTTTGTCCGCCAGTTAAAGATTGAGCATTGTGAAATGGATGTTTTTCTCCAGGCATGGAATTATAGCAGTCACCCGCTTTCTAATTCCCCTTCCACTTTGGCGACTGCAGAGTGCCTGTTTTCTTTGTGCTCCCCACTTCCCTCTCGATCAAAATAATTATGGCATCATGTAGTTTTTGTCTACTTTCACCTCACCCATCCCCCTCGCTCTCTACATTTTCCCCAGTTTCTCCGACTTACAGTATATGGCACAGTCGTTAATGGCTGGTGGGTCTATAGGCTCTATTTTTCTGAGTCTGTCTCTGGGTGTGTGTATAAGGAGGGTAGGGAGTGGAATGGAGTGGGATGGATCGGCTATGTGCAGTATCTGTATACAGTCGTTTTCAGAAGGCCGCCTGTAATGGCGTGTTGTATATGTAAGTGTATGTGTGTATACTGTATATAAGGTGAAATACAGGGAGAGTAAGAGATAGAGGGATGAGGTCAGAATAGAAGGGAATAGGGAAGGAGAAGGGCTACAGTAGGTACTCCTTCTTGCCCTGGCTGGCGTCGTTCCCATTGAGAAAGGCCTCCTGCACCTCACCGTGTTCATCCAACCCACTGGCCTCATGGGTAAGATAGGAACCTGAATGAAAAGAGACAGAGGGAGCGAGAGGGAGAGACAGAGAGAAAGAGAGAGAGACCAAGAGGGAGATTGGAGGGGGAAGGTTAGGTGGCAAAGCGTCATGATCATTGTAGCGCCATGCAGCATAATCAAACCAATCAGCCCTAATATTATTGAGTACCATACCTGTAACTGATTAATTCATTAGTTAACTGATTGTTAGGTCAATACCAAGCAAGAATAGGCTCTCGGGTACGGTACGAGCCTACCAGCGGAAATTTAAGGAAGGGGATGGATGTGTGAACAGAAGAGGCAGAAGAGGATGGGCAGGTGGAGAAGATAATAGAGAATAAAAGACAGGGAGGGAGGAGAGATTGGCAGAAAAGGGTGGAGGGAAGGTTAGGTACAAGAGAACAATGGCATGTTTGCGTCACTCAGAAAACCCATTACATACATTTTAACACCTCTCAGTTCTTTATGATTAATGATTCGGTGCATTACAGGTTACAGAGAGCAAGAACTGCTCGAGTCTTCTTCCTGCTTGAGTGTCCCTTCACTCCAGGGGTGAGTGACACTCTCATTCTCTTTAACGCAGAGGTTGACTGGCATGCTGACAGTCACGACTGGCCGAATACAAACCCCTAATGGCCCTGTCTCAACATGGTTTGGTTATAATGGTCCTGTCTCTGTGCTGATTGGCAGTCAAGCCATACTGAATGTTGACTGATGGCTTGTCTAGCCACAGAGTAAGTAATGCCTGCTACACTGTTCCCGGATCATTTCTTGGCAGCTGTGGTGCACAGTCAAAGGCTGCCAACATGGGGGCACTTAAAAAGATAGGGAATGCAGGGAGGCTGCTTTTAATAGATGAGCCTTGATACACTAACATATAGTCATAAAACATGGGGACCACACCTACATTTCCCACCCCATCCTATCCTATCCACTATCAGGGCCAAGGTCGTCCATCATGGACAGTGCCCGCCTGGAGAGGAGCATCGCAATCCTGTCTGCTTTGCGCTGACAATTTTACACCTCAGTTTAAAAGATTATTTTCTAAGAATATGGGTGTAACTGCCCTGCAATGATTTTTTCACAGCATGTTATGCCAGAAAGTGGAGACATAAGAAAGCGTGCCTATGAAAATTGTGATAAAATACTGCTAAAATGTGTCCCCTGAGGTGAAAGAAAGTTTTGCATTACTTGGTGTGTGTGTTTGTGAGTGTGTTTGTGCATGTGTTACCTTTCTGTCGGACAGAGCACCAGATGGTGACAATGAGGACACAGATGATGGTGAAAACCAGCAGTGCCAGAACTCCACCTATCACTGCATATGGTACTGCACTGTGAGTTTCTACCACTGCACCAGGATCTGAGAAAGAACAAAAGAAACAAATTTTATGTGTAGGTGGAGTGTGGGGTATATAAAGGGAAATATGGAGATAAAGGGAAAGTGCAGGCAAAGTAGGGAAAATATATAAAAAGTGAGAGACAGAACATTAAAACACCAGCATGTGGGAGAGTACAGGGAACAAGGTGATATCTTCCACTTAACTTGCATTATCACCTTTCATCACCCCCACTGCACAAAACGCCATACAGTCAAAATGGGTGAGAAAACGATGGAGAAATGAGAAGAGTGAATAAAGAAATAAGAATGTGAGCCTCTACAAACCCACTCTAGCCAAGCACCTGTCAACAACACAATGCATTTTGAATGAGGGGGAACTTTGAGTGTGTTTACACCCAGAGCAGTGCAGCCCTGAGAAATGAAATCAAACACTTCACCACAAGATGAGTGAAGAGAGATAATAAGTCAAGCTAAATTGTGTGACACTTTGTAGTAGAAAATTGCAGTAGTGGTAAGGAATTAGTCATGTCAACCTCACCTTGTACGAACTTTACTTTATGACAATTACTAAAACAAAAGCAGAAGAATAATAAAATAATGTGTAGGTTAATACTGAAATGATTAGTCAATTAAGCAATTTGTCAGCTGACAGAATTTGATAATAATGATTATAATAATTTGTCGGTCAGATAAAACAACCAATCTGAAGATATCACCTGCAAGCTCTGGTAAATTGGGATGTTAATTTTTGGAATCAATTAATCGACTAATTGAAAAAAGAATCGAAAGATTAAGTGTTAGTTGCAGCCCTACTATAGATTATGAAACACACTTAAGACCAAGTTTGTGTCTGTGTACAGTTTCACCAGTAAATAATGGCTGACAATAGCCAAAGCATTTTGGAGGGGGCTGAGGGGGTGTCGTGAAAGAGCTGGTAAGGTCAATAGGAGACAAGGACACGGAGTTATTGATGCAGCTCTTGGACCTTGACAGAGCGGAATTAAAACATGAATCATTAATACAGTGCTAACACATGGAGATCAGGAGAGAAAGAGAGAGTTATGGAGGAGGTAAAGGAAAGGAAGATGAGGAAGGGGTACAGGGATTGACAGCTGAAAGACGGTGCGTTCTTATGCATATATTTCTTGGATAAGTGGCTCATTGAGCATTGTGAAAAAGTGTGTCACATTCCTGCTTTTGTGTTTGATCAAGTATTGGTGTGTGTTTGATAAAATGAATACTGCCGCATCTGCAGGCACACAGGACAGGATCGAGCAGTCGGCCAAAGCAATATTTCACAGCAGATGAAAAGGCAAGGATTCAAGCACTATACCTTTACCTCACGCCATCCTGTTCTTAATCCACCGCAGCCCAGAGCTCCAGAGGAAATGACTGACAGTATTAAAAAGTGCGTTGTTTCTCCTCAGATGATACATCAGCATTGACTAAATGTTCACCAAACTGTTCAAGCATCTCCACACATGCCCAGCAGGTGAACAACCTCAACCTGCCACAGTCGGCGGCAGCTGCAACAGAAGAACAAGAAGGATGCTCCTGCTCCCTTCGCTACATCTCTCCTTTTAAGTAAGAGAGAGGAGATAAAGTGCAGCGAAGGTATGGAAAGAAAGAAGAACAGATTACAGGAAGCATGTGTTTGTGTGAGTGTGTGTGTGAGATAAATAAATTCTATAGATAAAAAAAAGAGGGGAACTACTTAGTGTGTAGTGTATAGTTTAACACAAACACACACACACACACATGCACACGCACTTAGCAGAGTAGTGCCAACAGCCTTTCTTTCTCCTGCTGTGTAACATTCATCTGGGAGAATACGATTAGACAACCACCTGGATCCCAGATCTTCTTTCTTTCTCTCCCTCTCGGTCTCTCTCTGTATATGTGTGTGTTTGCAGATAAATATGTTTGTGTAGCATCTCCACAACCCTCCACAGCCCTCCAGAGGCCAGCTTCAGTCAGCTAAAGGCTGGGTGCGTTGCCAGTTTCTTAAACTCTTAATGCAGATTCATCAACAGTACCTACCAAGCACCAAGACCCTCCCCAGACCATGCACACACACACACACACACAAAAATGCTGACTGTGCAATGTGTGTGTGGGGAGCATCAAACAGCCAGTGATAAGAAAGAGGGAGAGAGTGGGAGGTTGCGCACGATGCACACCCAAGTGTCTGCAGGCACGTACGCTCATGTAGATGCAGGGCAAAGGAAGGTTGCAGCAAAAAAAAGTGTGTGTGTGTGGGCCACATGAGAGTCATCAAATGAGCAGGGGAGTGAAAGACACCAAAGGAGAGCAGGGAAGGACGAGGAGAGAGATGGAGGGTAGCAGATGCTGAATAATAAGGTGTGTATGCGTTACCTTTTGGGTCCGGGGCGAAGCTGGATGTTAGGAGGGTTGGGGTGGTGGGATGGGAGGTGATTGGATGGGTGGTAGGAGTGGGAGGGACCGTGGTAGTGACTGACACATTCTCTACAGACAGACAGGGAATGGGATAACACACACATACACAAATGCTTTTATCTACAACATGCAGTGACATTTCAACAAAGGCGCTGCAGGGCTTTACAGCAAAGTTACTACTGCCTATAAAACATGACACATGCATTATTATGGTTGAATATTAATTGAGCTTCTCTCTTCCAATGAGTTTTGAGAAGGAGGAATAGATGTAAAATACAAGAACAGAAGGAAAGAGTTATTTTTCACCGACCAGCAATTGAGGCCAATACCATTTTGATAATTACTAATTACATTTCCAAATTAACTGCATATGTGAAATGGAATCGATCTTGACCCCTGAAAAGGACACAGATAAACGATGTTCTCTGGCAGGCCTCTATGCCAGCTGAGTGGGTTAAAGAAGATGTTTATAATGGGAAAGACATGCTTTAAAGCTTGGGCTGAAGAGAAACCCACCTGGCAGAGTGATATTCATCTTCCAGGCAATTGGAATATATGGGAACACATTCTCTATCACTGACACATTTTCTATGGTACAATGGCAGGAGAGACAGAGACATTGTCTGTGACAGATGCATTCCCAATGGAAAAGTGCCATGCAGGGACTGTCTCATTCAATGGCGAACAATAGCTTGGATCTTGACACATTCTCCAAATCAATGGCTGAGACACAATGGTAGGTAGAGAGGTAGAAAGAGACAAGTTCATATTGCCGTTAAAGACAAAAATAATGGCTGACAAGAACTAAAAGGGAGATGGAGGAGTGGGTGTGAATGCGCGTGTGTGCATCAGCACTTTAAGAATGGATAACATGCCACTTCATCAAACAGTCTCTATAAAACCGCAATGTGCAAGGAAGTCTACGTGAAGTCTCAGGACGCACACACACAAACACACACAGCTTCTTTTGAAACACATGCACGTACCCAGACCACATGTTCATGCATACTTACACACAAATGCATAATTGGCCACACACACATAATACACCCACAAAGACATAAAGCACACCTACACACACCTACCTACACCTACACCCCCCCCCCCCCACACACACACACACACACACACACTGCCCTTTCTGCTCAGGAGTAATTTATTGGTAAGTATTCCTCTGTTCCTCTGTCTCTTCTCTCCCTTTCTCCCAGTGGCCCTGAGATCATCAATCTCTTTTTGCACTCTTCTTATGTCAGCACTATACCTCCCCCAGTCTGTTTTTTTTTCTTTCTTCAAGCCCAGAATGGTCTTCTTCTCTTTGTAAAGAAATGTACATGATGCGTAGTGTATTTTGTGAGAAAAGACAAAGAGATGAGCAGAGTTTTCTGTGAAGTGAAGTGAGAGAGAGGGGGAAAGGAAGAATGGACATGGAATGGAATAGAGAGGAAGAGAAATTATCCCACAGTTGTCTAAGTATATGTGTCTGTTGCTCTTCTCCTGTATGCATGGCTATACAATATGTTGCATGTGTGTGTGGATACATGTATGTGTGCTTGTCACTTGAGCTTGAAGATTAATGGCCGAGGATGGTGCACTAACTGGACTATTACAAATGACCTAAAAATTGTTCTTTCTCACTATTTCCAACTTTTTCTTATCTTCCTACCAACATATCTCACTTCTTTTCCCTTGTTCTTCTTCAACCAAACTCTCTTCCCCTCATTTGCAACCCCTCCATCCTCCACTTTCCTTCATTTGACTGCGTCTCTGGTTTCATTCCTTGGTGACTACATTCCCCCCCTGCCTCTCTTCAACTTAATTAAGGAAAATGCCATACAGCTGTCATTCTCTTAGCCAACAGCGTCCCCCCCCCCCCACCCACCCACATCATATTGTTATTCATTAACACTATATGGCTGCCAATCAGGCACACAGCCCATGTTATTCCAGGGATGGATGTGGCAGCACGTGCGATAATGACGTTTCTCTTCGTATCTCATTCTTGCAGAAGTGCGCCTGAGGATAGTGCGCTGCCATTTTGGATGAGTCCTGTTATTCTTTCATGTTCACTGTTCCTGATTATAAGGACATTGCCCAGAGCAGTGGTGGCTCCAGCTGTCAATCAGTGCACTGAATGTTGGACATTGGTCAGAGGTCCACTGCTGAGGCATTCAAGGCCAACACTGATTGGCTAAAGACTCATTCAAAATGTACTCATATGTCAATATAGGTGCATTGTCATGTGTGAGGGAAAACAGCACTCAAGACCATTTCTTTCAATCAAAATTGACTCTGCATTATCTCTCTCTGGCTTCCTCTGCCACTAGCCCCCAACCTTTTTCCACTTTCATTCTCATTCTGTGCTTTTTGAAAGTCTCACTTCATTAAATAGAAGTCTATGTTTTTCATTCCAATTATTCTGACGGCTCATTACAACAGCCAAGGAGACACAGACTAATCCCTGGTCACCTAGTATCCCTCTCCATCCGACTATGTACCCATCCTTTCATCTTCCTATCACTCCCCTCTGCTTTCCATGACTCTTTCTATAAAACCATTAGTTTCACTATTCTTCCCCTTGCTCACTTCCTGCTCAGTTTTGCATAATTATACACACGCATACACATTCATAAGTGTGTTACATATATGCAAACTAACAATTCTTATCTCCCCATCTCTACCTCTCCCTCTCTCATTCTTTCTCTCTCCATCTCCCACACACTCTCATGCGATTCAATTCTAATGGGTTTTATTGGCTTGGCGATTCATCTGAGTGCAGCAGCTCAGTTCAATTACATAAGGGAGCCCTCCGGGTTTTCACCAGACAATCTGCAACATTCTCCTCCCAGTCACATGCACACGCATGCACATGCACTTTCGAATATATGCACATAAAAAAATCCAATTTCTCCTTAACAATGGTGGCACAGAGATGAAACAACCAACAGAGGCCACATCCTTTACACATTCTGCAAATAATTGCTGTGTGTGTGTTTGTGAAATGTGTATGTGTGTGTATGAGTGTGTGTGCTCTGTGATTCATTTGAAACTATTTGTCACATTTATATCATTAGTGACTCTCTGAAAGTTGCTGAAAGTTAATTTCATCGTATTAAGTTCTGAACACACACACACACACACACACACACACACCAAATTTCTCACTCTCTTTCTCTAAATCATAAACACATCAACACGCTCAGACACACACAGAGTTACACAAGTGTGACCAGTCATATAGAGCTCAGCTTTAATGCATCACGTCTTCTTGCCATGGCCTGGGCTCCCTGGAGAGTTTCCCACCTCTCGCTCTCTGTTCTCCTTCGCCAGCATTACGCCCGTCTCCCTTCATAAAGTGGCAGCGCCTGAAGCACCTGCGACAAATTGGCAGGCACTTTGGCTGAGTTTGTACCCGGTGTACAGACCCTGATGGCAGATAACTTTCACAGAGGGAAGGTTGACACGAAACGAGAAGGAGAGACACGAGAGAGAGCACTTGTAGTTTTTCTGCACCTGCAATAAAATGGTTCCTTTTCCGCTGATTCATCCTTTACAACACACATCCTCCAGCGCTCCCTCCTTGTCCCCCTTCCTCCCCCAGTGCACCATGGGATTCCCTCTGGGAAGGCTGGGAGCCAACTAAACTATTCAGTTTATCTGACAGGCTGTGGTACTGAATGGTAACCTGGGTCTGACCTCCATCGTCCTTCTTCTTTCCCTTTTCTTCCTTCCATTATTTCCTCCTACACTATCTCCCTTCCTCCCTCCCCTCTATCCATCCCCGACTCCTGACTCTGTTGCATTAACTCTCCCATACTCTCAGAAACCTAGGCATTTTTTGAGTAAAGAAAGTGAACTGCAGCTGAACCGAGAACAGAGGGCAAACTGGTGGCATGGTGAAAAACAGTTGAAAGGTTGTGGGAGGAGTGGAGAGAGGAAGTGGACAGGGGGTGTAAAAGAGGTGAGAACAGCGGGCAGAGTAAATGAAAGGAAGGATTTTGAGGAAAGAAATGGGGAGAGGGAGAGAAAAAGGAGAGCCAAAGGAGGAAAGCAGAAAAATAGAGAGATGGAGAAACTGAAATTATTATGACTGAAACAGAAAATCAGTTTACAGAGAATGGAAAAGTAAGGCACAAAAAGAGGTGTGAGATTGGGAAGAGACTGTATATTTTTTTCCTATCAACAAAGCCTTTAGGAATAAGTGTAGAGCTTTGTTACAAAATGAGATATACACTATTTGAAAAAAAGAAAACATAAAAAGACACCTACTATAAAAACGTGGGTGCTGGAATGAAAAAAACACACTTTAGAGTCATGAGTCATCTTAACATATTTTACCAAGTGGAATCATATTTATTTTTAATATTGACTGATGAAATTTGTATCATCAGAAAGTAGCACTTTACTAACACCATATTAAATGATCCATGGTGGTTTATTTGCATATGCAGTGATGTAGAGTAAACACACTGTTTTACAGTTATGTAACATTTGCAAAGACACACATATCACTGGAAACTTTATAGCCTGAATGCAAGGAGTTTATATGACATTTCTGGAGAAAGAATTAACACCCCGTAAGCCAAATTATTAGTTGTGACATACAGGAAAATGAAAAGTGACTTTCAGTCGTCTACAGATTAATATGATGGCTGAATCAACAACTCTGAGCTCTTTGAGATAAGGTTTGAAACAATCTGCCCAGTGGGCGAGCACATATTTTTTGAAGTACAGCAAAGCACCACTGATGTGTGGCTTCAGCAGGAGGAATTAAGAAGCTGATTGCTGGAAATCCAGAGTGCAGAGCAGAGGAGATGAAGCTTGGCTTATGTTGGCTATGTGGATTTCTGGTCTTTTGTGGATTTTGTTTTTTCAGACAGGATTCCTTACTTTAAATGTTCCCTTTTTTCACAATAACAGAGGATATGGGTAAAAAAAGCAAGATAAATCAAATTAATGACCAGCACAGAGCAACAGCATGAAATAAAGAAGATAAATGATGAAATGTAGGAAACAAGAGAAAAACAAATGAAGAAGACAGCTAAAAATGGTGAAGGAGGAAGCTGAGGAGGAGGGAGAAAGACAGAACATTTTTCTACAGAGGGGGCAACTCACATCAAAGCTCGACATGTCTAACCTTCTACGATAGAAAGAGAGACAGAGACAGAGAGAGGGAGGGATGTGGGTGGGGATGTCACCTTTCATCTTGCCACTGTTGCAACCCTTGATGCCTGTAGAAGGCTGCAATTATGTGTGCTGTTTGTACAAGAGCATGCGATGGTTGATTGTGCGTGTTGCACGTGTGGGAGAGAAAGAGAGCGTTAATGTGACGGAGAGATGAGGGGGCGCTAACCAAAAGCAGCCTAAAATGTTATATATAGTAAAATATCATGTCTCTTTTCCCTCCAACCGTCCCTCTGCTTCCAATACATTCTCACTCCCAACCTCCCAACTCGTCAAATATGGAGGAGTGGTGCTTGGATGCAATGACAGGAGCAGCCAGCAGGAGGGTAGTAGACCAAAATGGCAAACTTGCTGAGTGATTAAGCAAAACCACAAAAATATTGTATGGGAAACCGTAGAAGCCTCTGATGATGAGCTAGCTTTGTTGCTGTCCCATTTACTCTCTTGTTTCATGCGTGGATTAAAATACATTATTTCGAATCAGAACCTTTTTTGTAAAAACGGGCTTCAAACTCCAAGAGAAAGTTGGCCGATCTGTCACATTTTCTGAAAACTAACTTTATGGTGATACAACATTTTCATGCAATGTTGCAAGCTCCACCGTCATCCTCTTTAAGCCATGGTGTGCAGTTTATCTAGGTCAACCTTTATTAAGAATTTAGCAACCACCGGTGAATCTAGGTGCAACATCCTGGAAAACTGACAACAAAAGCCCCATACCCGCATCTGACACATCACCTCACCCTCTGATACCTCTGCTCAAGCAACAAGCAAAGTTGATTCGCCTGAATTTTAAATGCAACAGATGTTCCACTGTTGTTTTTTGCCAAATGTTACCATGTAAAACTCAGTTTCAACAGATTCAGCATTGCATTAGTACTTTGCACTGTAACTTCTGTTGTCTTTGTCTCCTATGTGTCAGCTTGTATTGTGAAGTTCATTTAGTTGTCACAAAATCTTGTGCTTTATTTAAGCTACTCTGAATGCCTTGAAGAGAGGATTGGGTCCAGAAGACTTGATAAATTGGTTCTTTACAAGAGATACGCTGAATAATGATGTTGGTGACTAGTATCTGAGCACGGTAGCCTACGTCTTCTTGTGGAATCAATATCTCTGTTGAATCAATTGCAAAGGAGGTTTAGCAGAGGTTTCCTGCTGTGTACCAAATCAGGAAAACAAATAAAGCTGAAAGACAGATGAGACACGCATCACAATTGAATGGTTCTATTGCCCAGTGCCAGAGTAGCCAGACTCCAAAGACACTAGGAAGATAAAAGGATCAATAAGATTTGTCCCCAAAATAGCAAAATAAAATAATTAAAACGCAAAACACAAGAACAAAAAATGCAACAAACAAAAGATCCATTGAACGTAAAATTATTCAGAACAGTTAAGAATTGTCTGGGATACTAATACAAGAAATGAAAACAATAGAGAAAAAGAATCAATGAAGCAAACTTTTTAAACACTTGTGGAAATTCTATGAACTTGTAACATGAAATGAACTATTACTCACCATACACCAATAGGGCATAATGATCAGCAGCGCGTCCGTAGTTGTTCTGGGCCTGGCACAAGTACGTCCCGTTGTGTGATTGGCTGAGACGGGAAATCTGAAAGGTAGGGCCAGAAATCTCTGCCCTCTCAGGTAAGGTGTCATTAATCTTAGACCACTGAATGTTCCTCGGCCTGAAGGGAAGGAGACAGAGAGAGGTATACTGATTGATAATGCTGAAATTATCTGTCTATTAATTGACTGATCAACTGACAGAAAATTTACATTTTTGATAATCAATTAATTGTTCAAGTCTGTATCAAAGAGAAATGCAAAACATTTGCTGGCTCAAGCTTTTTTATTTTATTCTATTTTTTTTTTACAATTTTCAAAATGCATAACAAGTCCTACAACAGCATAATGTTAAGCCTCTATTGTATGCCATTTAAATACAGCTAGATTGTAGATTTACACATATAATTACTTCTACTAGTGTTTCAATTGCCTCTACAACCACCAGTGTTGGGCAGTAATGCATTAGTAATCTGTTATAGTAATGTGGTTACATGTGGTTACAATTTGAAATTTAGTAATTACATTAGTTACAAGTCCCCTTAACGCTTAGTTACTTTGACAATTTGGGGGTTGGCTTGTTCTCTCTCTTACTGGGATGATATCAGTTTAGTCTTCAGTGGAGAGACTGGTCTGGGATGTTTTAGCTTGGCAAGGGGTTGGAGGTGTGGGGAAGCAGTTAGCCTCTACCAAAAGAGGAGAAAAAGGACTACCGATAACTCCAAATGTGCATATGTTGTCTCTTTACATGTACACTTGGTACATGTAGCTGCAAAAGTGTTAAGCCTACATTCAGAAATCAACTGGATATGTTTAGAGTTGGAAAGACTGTAAACACCGCAGCTATACTGTAAGCATAGGACTTGTGTAATATGCAGAGGGTCAGTAATTGCCTCCAAAATAATGTCCATAATAATGTTTTCTCTTTCTGCACTTGTTAAATAGAGACAGCGGGACATGTGGGTGTGGCTGAGTTGTTTAAAGTCACCTTGGATTAAGCTGGACTGAATAACAAAAGTTATTTTACATTTTGCTGTTGCATATTTAGCAATGAATGATATAAGTACTTTTTCAATGTGTAATAAGTAATGAATAATTTCTGAGATTTCTCAAGTAACTGGCAAATCACTGTTAACTACCTCTCTAACTAATACCACTAGTAAACTACTAGTCTTAAACACATTTAGTAAAACCTGAAGTGCTAAAGGGTATTAAAAATGAGAAAGGGAAAGGAGACAAGGGATGAAGCACAGGCACAGACGGATGCTATAAAAAGAGAGGTGAATAAGGAGGGTAAAGAAGCCCACAGGGGGACAATGACATGAGAAGAAAGTATAAAAGCGTTTGGAGAATAAGCCAATGGCAACAGAGGGATGCATCCTGACAAATAATGAGATGGATGGACAAAGGGCAGCGATTGTGTGAAAGGGTTGGCAAGAGGGAAAGGAGGGCAGATGAGAGAGAAATAGGGTGTCAGATGTGCATAGTGGGAAAAAAAAGAAAATGAAAAGTAGTTTGTGTACTAGTGTTATCACAGGTAGAGGAAAGACAGAGAGAAGACGAAATGGTGGGGTGGGAGATGAAGGCAGGGAGAAGGCAGACAAAATGAATTGGTCATGAAAGACAGGCAGGCAGAACAGACAGGAGGTGCGAGGATTACAGAGACATCCTGGCGAACAAAACTGTGTGTGTGTGTGTGTGTGTGTGTGTGTGTGTGTGTCTGGCTGAGTGTCATGGCTCATGCCACCCTGGCCAGATTACAATCCTGACTCATCTGGGTTCTAATCCCTCAGGACGTCTAATTAAACCTCTCTCTTGCTTAGTCACACACACTCTCTCACTCATCCTACACACACTAAACGTGCACAAACAAAATCTCGCTCTCTCTAGCGCACACACACACACACACACATATATATACACATGTACTCCCACAGTAATTCCTTCAAACGCTAACACACAAATAAGCAGGCAATTAAGCAAAATGACAAAACGTCGTCTGCATCTCTTCTCCTAATAAGAGGACAAACAATGAGTGTACCCCTCCTTCAAAAGGAAGTAGCATATAATTGGCCATTAATACCTAACAGGCAATTAACAGGGCCAGGGAGCAAGCGGGAGAGCGACAAGGGGACTGTAATGCGTGTGTGTGCATGTGTGTCCAGGCCAGCGTGAGATGAGGGTCAGAGTCCAGAATGGCCTCCTGTCCCATCTCTCACTGTCACATATGCGTGCACGTACCACACAAACACACACACAAACACACACACACACACACACACACAGTGTCCTCAACCAGCCGTTACAAAGCTGTAGTGGGGCTGTGGCCAATACGATTCTCAGCCAGTCCTCACTGTGAGATTTCACTTAAGTCATCACACACACAAACACACACACATGCACACACTTTGGCTGCATGAAGCTTTACTGTGGAGCTTTAGTGGACTTGATGCCCACAGACAGACGGACCATCTAGGGGAGGGTTTAAGAGCTTAGGACCCAATACCCTTCTGGATAGCGCACAAAGGGCTGTGAACACACTAGAAAAAGGATTTGTTTCAAAGCTGGCTCTTAAAAGTGTTGACTGCTGATTGGGTTTAGTAGCTCTACCCTCACACACAGAGCCACATACAAGTTTATATGTCCAAACTCATTTCTAGTATTCTTTTACACTACACTTTTACATCTCTGCCTCCCTCTAAAGCTCTTATTCTCTTTGTCCTTCATGCAATAAAATATGGATCAGGTGGTTTTTATCCGTCCGCCAGACATTAAATGTCAGGTGATATCGCAGATACAGTACAACTCTTTTGGTTTATGATCTAACTTAGATGCACAATCCATATCCTGATTGTTTTGATAACAGGGGTAATACACCCTTGGTTTAACTTCAGGAATGATCTGCATCATTTGTGAAGGACAGCATGTGGTCATACTCAGTTGGACAGTCTATATCTCCTTTCCATTTCCAAGAAAGTAGTTTATATGAAGTTTCTCAGGAGTTCATTTCTAAGAATAGTTCTTGTGGTAATTAGAGGGAGTTTATTGAGATTTGTGGAGATCAGAAGTACTTGGTTACTTGTAGTTTCCAAGAAAGAAGGCTGATAAAGCACACATGTTCTCCTTTCAATGGTGTTCACATCACCTTATTCTTGTACTTTTGACAAAGGGATGTAAATCAGCAAATAAATGAAACTGTTAAAATACTTTCAATAAAATGATAAAACATTATTTGGAGTCAAAGGAGTTTAGTTTACATAGACAGAAGAGACACTGCGGAGTCTTTTTCACAATGACTCTGTATCTGAATCTGTATTTTCACTAAATCTCAATCTGCACAGCTCCCAAGTTATTTGCAGGTCAACATTAATTAATATTAACGGAGACGTTTTTTCCGCAGTTTGCTTTGCATCTGGTACAAACACAACGTCCACAAATCAGTCACTGTATTTTTGTAAAAACAATTTCAAATACCTTTCACTCATTTTTTACTACGTTGTTTTTTGGATGCTGTGGTTGTATGCTTGCATGCCGTTCGTTTGATTATGTTTGTTTAGGCTACTATTCGTTACTGCTGAAGTTACTAGCTGCAATCCTATTGATACATAAACTAGACTCCATGGCTTTGACTTTGGCTTAGGAAAGTGTTTTATATTAATACATATTAAAACATTGACAGGCTTGTTGTCACACTTTCTACAGTAGGCTACTACAAAAAACATGCCATCTAATTGAGGCTAACTTGCCCTGGGAATATCTATGGTGGCTTTTCAAACCAATTTTAAATACCTGCTTGTTAGTGATTGTTAGTGTGGAGTGATTGTCATGCGATGACAGACATGGGTCGTTTGTGCATGCAAAGATGCATGTAATATTTTTGTGTAAATATGTTGAACATTGAAGTACAACACAATTTATATTTGAGCTGAATGTTAGTCCTTCATTCAATCCATACATTTCAATGTGGAAGATAAAATTTCTTGCAGAAAAATAAAAACTTGAACAAAGTTCCTTTCAGACCCTGTCTTGCTGTGTTTAAACAAACTGTTTAAAATCATCCAAACTGTCCAAACTGACCTGTTCTTTTTGAAAATTGCTTCAAGCAAATACAAAAAAACATTACCAGATACTTATCTACCTCATCAGTTGAACTGCTAAACTATTCTCTGCAGTCTGTGGCCACATCAATGACAACCTTTGGCTATGACTTCTGCAATCATTTTAGATCGCTAAATTCAAGCTTATTCTGAGTTACACTTTGAAAAGGTGCTCTGGGTAAATGTGGGATCTGAACTCATCTAAAGTCAGCAACAATTTTACCCTCATCGGTGTAGCTGTTACCTGCAGCTACCAGCTGTTTGGTGAAGTTACGACCTAAATGTCATTCTCATAGCTCAAAACTATTTCCCAAAACAGTTTTAATGTGTATACTTGCAGTCCCATTTTCTCATTATGAAATTTTGTGTTTGCAAGGGTTGTCGTTGAACTTGGCAACCTTCTGCATGTTGTCGTCAATCAAACGCTTTCAGTGTATCCTTAAGCCGATTTGTCAAGACTCACTGCAGCTTTTCAAGTGAAATGCTTTGTTTATTGACAAACCTTTTATACTTTCTGATTATTTTGTCAGGAATTCATTTTGGAATGAGAGAAAACACAAACACACTGCTAGGACATCCCAAAAAAGCTTCACAGGCAGGCTGGTAAATGTGCCGGTTTCATTTCTTGGGAAAAGTGAAGTTGAATGCATGTATGATTGAAATTCTTTTTCAAACTACGTGTTGCAGTATGGTGACTACAAAAAGGCATCATACCTCCTTAAACCAAGACCTGAAATAGTCTTTTAAATATTTTTTTAATAATAAGAAAACAGGCCATCATTCGCACACAACACTCAGCGTAGTGAGGTTTCTATATCGGCATTTCATTGTTATTTTTACTGCCATGACTCTGTACATGTGCTGTGCCTGTTTGAGTACGTATGTTTTGTGTATCATATTTTCAGGTTCTATAGCAGTTTGTGTCATTATGTTATTTGAAAAAGTAGGACATAGTTGACATTTAACTGAAGGCAGATCAAACCAACACAAAACAGTTTAGCACATGTACACACACATACACAGACTTACAGAGGGTTCCCAGTGACGGAGCAGGTGAGACTCAGCGAGTCGCCCTCTCGCAAAATGCCAGAAGGAGGAACAATTCTAACTGTAGGTGCAACTGTGTGGAGAGAAAAGGAGAGGAGGGGTAAATAAATGAGTATGCAGGTGAGAGAGAAGACAAGAAAGGCACAATAGAAAACAAATGGATCAAAATGATCAAAACGGAGCAACAATCAGACAGGAAAAAAATAAATAAAAAAATCAGGAAATGAGAGAGAGACAGCGAGGGAACAAAAAGGAGGAACAAGGGAAAAGCGAGAAAGTGGCAGGAGAAAGGGTCTTTAACATCTGTTTCCAAGGCAACCAGCCGACAATCCTACGGTTGAGACACCTGTTATCATAAGCAGCCCACCGCTCCAGCAGCTGCTGTACTGCACTTACTTCAGTAACAGAGCGATGGCAAGCCAAATCCACACTGACAGTTGATCATTATTACCAGTTCTCTGGCTGGAGGAACCATCAGCACACAGATTGACAAAACTGTTGAATATGAATCATTCTGACCTATCAACAAATATTAGTATACATGTGGCAAATTAATTAACCAAAGACTGGTGCAGATGTGCGTATATGCCTGTGGAATGTTTAACTATCCAGAATTATTGGTATATTTTTGGGATATTGAATGAGGAGAGAGCAAATGTAGCAAGTGAATATTGGCTGACTTGTTGAACAACATCATAGTAACATCGGGGGAGAAAAATTATTTTATGTACTTTAACATATATTACCACTGAATATGAATGAGCCACCTACTGCCCCCATGTTCCTTTGCAACACATGCTGCTACAATTTGTATTATTCTTATTTTTGCTTATCATTATTAACATTATTACCACTAAAATTACTTGTACTTTACTTTATCTATGTGGACTTTGCATTGTGCTTCTGGATGTTCTTAAACTTGTTTGATAGGATTAGAAGCAAACAAAATGGATTTACATTTTATAGATATTAAATGATGGATTTTAGACTTCTACAAAAATGGTTGGAGGGATGTAGCTCATAGCTGTCTGACATTTTCAAGATTAATCCTACTGAAACATCTACAGATGTGAAGACATTGAGAATTCAGCCTAAAATAAAAATATGGTTCTTTCTGAACTTGTTGCTCTGGGTAAATATTAGATATTAAGCCAATTATAAATTTAAATCTCTTGCAGTACTTTTAGTGTTTGGTTTTACCTGTCTTGAATGAAGATTTGTGCTGAGATTTCCAAGCATACTAACTTGTGCAAATAGGCCAGCAAAGATCCATCAATCCCACAGTGCTGGGATCACTGCACATACTAACGTGACAAAGGTTTTTTTCAACTGATGTTGGTTAGCTCCTTAAACCACAGGCCAGGACCTGGCCGCAGACCTGTTTCTGGCAGCTCTCCGCATGACAAGATTTGTATGTATTAGGTTTTAATGAGAGCTGGTCTCATACAGGCCAGCTCTGAATATCCTGGACTGTATATAAATGAGCTTCATTCTAAAATGAGATATCCACCATTTGAAAAATGAGTCTGCTACCCTGACAAAATAATGGGAGGCGTTAAAGTAAAACACTGTAATGAATAGTACTGAAGTAGCAACTTAAGTGACAGCAATACAGATGGAATAATTTGGGTTTTTGAAATATTTGGTGATGAACATTATGTTACTTCATTTGTTTCCAAGATGGATAGAAAAATCTTCACACACACACACACACACACACACACACACACACACGTCGGAAGATGGAGAGACTTACAATACACATCCAAGCGATAGTGTCGAATCCTCTTCTGCCCGCTGAGTGCCGGGTGGAATGCCTCGCAGCTCAGTGCTGCCCCGTTGTCTTTCCTTTCTACCGGGATTCGGATGGTGCTGGACACACTGAACGTCTTACCATTGTCCTGCTGGGATACCACACCTGGAGAGAGACAGAGGCGATGAGATGATGGAATGAAAGAAGACAGGTGGGACGGCTGGGAAACAAGTTAGCAGCCAAAACATGCCCGTTTTTCCCTTCTCCCTGCTGAGACATCACACCTATGGTGAGAGAGGAAAACAGACAAGGAGGAGGAAGAAGGGAGGGAAAAGAGAATGAGACTTTTAGAGGAGAACACAGGTGGATTGAAGAAGTGAGCAGACTGAAAGGAAGACTAAGTTAGAAGAAGTTAGTGAATGATGAATTAGTTTGTTTCACAGCAGCACCAGGTACCTGTAGAGGGGAGAATGAGTGGTGGAGGAAAGAATAAGAGAGAGAGAAAAGCAATTTGCATCTATATTTCATGGCAATTGTGAGCAGCAGAACTGTTTGTTTGCAGATGGTAAATCAACTGAATATTTTGTGTGTGTGCGTGAGTGAAAGAAAGAGAGAGAGAGAGAGAGAGAGAGAGAGATGGGGGGAGCAAGACAGGTAAATGAGAGAATATGCATAACCGAATTGAAATTTTAACTGAGTCAGACAGAGAGAGAGAGAGGGGCGTCAAAGGACCAGGGTGAGAGAAGAAAGGCATGCAGAGAGGTGCTCATAGACATACAGAGAGAGCGAGAGAGGGCAGCAAAATGGGCATGATTGATGGAGGGTGGGGGCGAGGAGAGCTGCGGCGAGACAAGCCCAGACATGAAAGAGGATGATAAGAGTGCCAAGCCAGATGCAGAGTGGAAGAAAGAGGAGGAGAGACAGGAGGAGGGAGGAGGGGAGGAGGAACAGCAGGGTGACACGGTCACGTATTGGGAGTTTGTGCTTGTTGAGGCAGAATACAACAACATTACTTAAATCGCGCTGAGTTTTCAATTATTGCTGGCCAGCAAATGAAAGCAGGCCCAATCAAAGCGTGAGAGAGGATGGTGGTGGGTGCAGATGAGCAGGAATAAGGCAGCAGTGGGAAGATAGTGTCTTAATTAAAGAGTGCTTTCCTATATCTGTTGGGATCTGCCTCTAACCTTTAGTGTCACAGTTCATTTAACTCACGGCCAAAAGAGAGAGGCGGGAAGAAGAGGAGGAGATAGGAGAGAAAACAGGAGAAACGAGGAAAAAGGAGGATAAGAGAGGAAAGAGAAAGAGAGGGTAAGAGAAATGAGGGGATAAGAGGAGAGAGTGGGAACAGGAAGAGAGGAGAAGACAAAAGAGGAAAGACAGGAAGAAAAGAGAGAAGAAACAAGCCAAGAGGAGAGAAGAGGAAACAAGAGGAGAGAGGAAATGAGAGGAGACAGGTAGAGAGAGGTGGAGAAGAGAGTAGAGAAGAGAGACAAAAGTGCAGTCAGCCTGTCTCTTTGAATGGCTACATGACTCTTAAAACCATTTGCAACCAATAACCAAGGTGAGGAGTGTCACGTCTTTGTCACCAGTGAAATTTAAAAGAGAAATAAAAGAAGAACGGGAGATCAGATGAAAAGAAAGGGAATGAGTAAAGTGGAAGGACAGAGAAGGAGAATAAATGACAGAGACAAGCATGTTCTGACAGAGAAAAAGGGAAGAGACTGGATGAAAGAGATGCCGAGTGTCAGACAAAAATAGAAAGTAAAAGAGACAACGGCTGACATGAAGTTTAGAAGGGCAAAGCATTGCTCGCTGCATGTCCCAAAAACTGTTGACACCAGATTATCTCACATTATTTCATCTAGTCTGCGTGAGTTATTTGAAGGCAAAGGGTATGAATTAATGAATAACAATAACGTAATAATGTGACAGCGATTTGTACTTTTAAAAGTCGTCTGCATTTATTAAAAAACTGAGATAAATTGAATAAAAAAATAATAGCCATTAGCCGGAGCGTGAGATGTTGTGCATAACATAACTCCTAAGAGATATTTTGTTCGTGCTAAGGCAACGGAACAAGGTTTTTGAGAAACTGAAATCAAAACCTCGCTTTATACACAAATGCTGATTTAACGGCAGAGCGCAAAAATATGATTTCTCAGGGGTCAAATAGGCTGAAGACAATGGAAAGATAGGTCTCAGATGTATTATTGAGCAAAGAGATCCAAAGAGAGCCAGCGAGTTAGAAAGAAGGATAGATCAAGGTAACAGACTAATAGATGGCTCATAGATTCATCAGATGCAAAGAAGCAGGGAGAGTTAGATGATGGTGTTACATTTCTTTACTTATTGCAATATATAATGAGTTGAACCACAAGATACGGTTTGTCTTTACCGTTCAAGATGGAATTTCACAAAAGCCAGGTCAATAAAGTCCAGTTTCTCCTATTTTGACCGTTCATTGCACATCATGGATACCTATAACCTTGTCGGCAATTCTGTTAAGTTTCTTCACTAACATTAACATCAATTAATGATGAGTTGAACCTCAAGATACAGTTTAGGTGTCTTTATTGTTCAAGTGCATCTTAATCACAAAAGTATCACTCGGCTGACGTATCACTTACCCTGTTAAAAAAGTTATAACCACCATTGTATAAGTTAAGGCAAAGTAGTGCCAATTGCCTTTTCTAAATATGGAAATTATGTATTGTTTTTCCAAATACAAAACAGACGTTGAATTAAAAAGTGCGTCTTTGTGAGTGTGTGAAGTTGAGGTAAAGTGAGAAAAGCTGGTGTGCATGTATCTGCATCTGTGCTTTCATGTAATGGTGCACTTGTCAGATAATGTCCAAATAAAAGACATTTGAATTGGAATTTTCAAGAGAGAGCATACAGAGAGCAATATACGGGGAGATGTTTATCTGCTTTGATAGGGAAAGAATTTGACTTGTGGACATATTAGACAGAAAAAGCACAGAAATATTTCCAGTGATGTCTGTCTTCTCAAAACAAAGATCAACACAAGTAGATGAACACACTTCTATGAACTTATGACTCTTCGTCTAAGGAGTGGAAACAGAAAAGTTCTCAGTGTTCACATCTCAAAAAAGTGTGTTTGATCACTTGAATCTACACTGTTGCCTAAAAAAATATTGCAAAGAGCATTTGTTTAAAATCAAGGAAACTAGTAGAGAGGGAGAGATTCTGGCAGCCCCACAGCCAAAACCTTCATTTTCTCCATCCATTTATTCATCCATCTTAACCTGCTCCCATCAACTGATCTATCTGCCATTCCCTCTGTCAACCCATCAATCACCCATCCATTCGTGCTTCTTTTATTCAGCACTCAATCTGTGATATCATCCACCCATTGTGCTTCACCTGCCCTATATTTCCCCATTAGTTACCTCATTTATCTTTCATAATCATCTAACGATTCATCAGTCCAATGTCCAGGTACCTGGTATTTCCCGGCCATTACGAATCCAGCGCAGGGTGGCGGCCGGCTTGCTGCGTGGCGACACACAGGTGAGCTCCACCTCGCCGCCCTCCACCGCCTCCTGCTTCACCTCCACCGCGGGCGTCTCCGGGGGCACCAAAACAGACAGTGTTGCCACCTGGTGGTGTGTAGCATCTGTGTAGAGCTGGCAGAAGTAGCCGCCCTCATCCCACACGCTGACGTTGGTCAACGTGATGCGCACCAGCCGTGGCGTGAAGAGCACCATCTGGAAACGGTCATCCTTCAGGGCTGGAGGTACATGAAGACAATGGAGAGGGGTGGGGCGTAAGTAAGACAGCATGGGATGGGGTTGTTGAGGAGGAGGGTACAGAGAGAGAAAGATGATGGGAGATGCAGGAGAGAAGATGGGGTAAGTGACAGAAAGAGTGCTAAGGTATAAAGTACATCAGATCTACATCACAATCTTGTGAAGTGAGACTAAATTTTGGCAATATGGGGGTGCTCAGTGTCTCATTTTACATAGAACTACCGGTTTTCTCTCAATAAGTTAATGTACAGCCTATTATGATATAAATTTCAACATATAATGCTGTAAATAAAAATGTGAAAAGAAAGTAATAAATATATATATATATATATCAAGAGCGAGAATAAATCCAAAATTTTAACCGTTAAGGTGCTCTTCAGCGTGTGTGTGTGTGTGTGTGTGTGTGTGTGTGTGTGTGTGTGTGTGTGTGTGCAGACAGAGACAAGCTGTGCCGGTGTTGTGCCCAGTTGTGCGCACCTCACGGGACGTTTGGATCATTTATCACCATTAACGAACCACACAAAGAATATTATATAGTTTTTAAACAGACCCACGAGGAACTGCAACTTGCGTGCAGTTGTCGGCCGCACGGCATACACGCAAAACTCTGCACAAGACCGGTGAATGGCAGAGGAGCAGAGAGAAAATGGTCAACAATAAGCCTCAGTTTAGCTGGAAATGTACAGTGTAAATTACAGTGAGTAATGAATAAAGACTGCAGCTCTGCAGCTTCTCAAGATTAAAGCGGTGCTACTGTGTGTTACACTACAATCACTAAGCAGACGAGCGAAATCAGTTACATATTCAGTGGGCTGACTAAGTAGGAATGTGAGTTACCTGCTGAGAAATGCAGGTTATGGGTCAAATCAGTTACCAGTGAAGTGGGTTGCCAAAGCATGCATGCGAACAACCTGGCTTGACGAATTAATAGCCTAGCTCAGAGAGTGGGTAGCTTAACTCGCCATCAGTGTTGGCGGCTTCGACATAAACATAGGCTCCTCCGGCCTCTCAGTAGTCTTATTTTTGGCATTTTCCCTGCAAAACTGCACCACCTACAGGGAAATAAAATAACAGCAGTTCAGACATGTTGATGTAGGCACACTGATGTTGCCACTTACAGGCCAAGAAAGTGACAGTTGCTGTAATTGCTTGCACTTTTCTTGCCGATAAGAGCGCAGGTTAGATTGGAACTACAGGTCCAGAGTTGCAGGGCTTAAAGTGCTTGCGTGTGGCTCTGCAGTTGAATGACATTGGCCAGGCCTGGTTGCAGGCACTTCAGATCAATAAGACCATGTATACTTGTTAATTAATGTCTACAAGATATTTTTTTTTTCTGTTTATCTTTTTGCAGGACGTAATTGGCAAGAACATCAAACAGCACAAGAGAAGCAAGGGCTGCTTTAATTGAGTGGTATGCGATTTTCAGCTTTTCAATCGGTTATTTCTTAGCCTTAAGACAGTTTGCTCTGTATTAGCAAAAAGTCAGTATATCTCCCACAGTCTGGAACAAGAGTAGAGTTTTCACCTCCCTCTAATTTGTGATGTCACTCCCATGGACAGCACTGCGGAGAAAAAATTGCAAAACATGGGAGAAATAGTGGCTGTGACAGCAGCCCAGATGATTTTCAGCTCTGGAATTGATAGTGCTGCTAAATCTAAAGCTCAGTTTGATATAAAAAGTTCAGAGAGAGTTTCCAAAATCCGTCTCAATGGAGAAGCTCCAGGCTGTACATTGATACAACATAACAGATGTCTCGGTTCTCTCATTTCCAGCTTTGAGGGAGACTGTTGTTCATTTTCCCAACCACTGATTGGACTATCCTAAACTAGAATGTATTCATTCATTCTCTTTGTAACTGCTTGCTTTAGTCCTCTGTAAGCCCATTTCTAATTAGTGTCTGGTATTTTTATTGTTCAACTTATTAGGTATTAATCTTTATTGTTTTACTCTGAAGCACTTGGTAACTCTTTTGAACAATGCTGTAAAGCTTATTGCATATATTTAAGGAAAACTATTAAATTGGGTGGTCATTGGGAGACAAACTAAGTACCAAAAGTGTACACAGTGTAAACACTACAATTCACTATGGAAAATAACCAAGGATTGAAAACGAACAGTAAAAACCCATCAGCTTTCTGAACGCTTAATTCTGGTTACTGAAAAAAACTAGAATCAATGACAAGAAAAATGGTCATAATAACAAATAACGCTAACAACTGTCTGTGGATGACAGTGGCTCAATGTCCATAGATGCTCATGCGAGACTTATTTTGTATCGACTTGACTGTGAAACCTCTCCCTCATTCTCCATTTCTATTTTATTCTGTCCCTGTCTGCACTCCTTTGTGTTGGTTTTGGCTCTCAGCAGACACTTCCCTGATGTAACAACCGGCCATCTCGCAGCATAATTCATCACAATACAGACACTACAGTATAGATATTGGCTTTGTGTGGGCATGGGCATGTGTGCAAGAGAGAGAGAGAAGGAGGAGGAAGGCCGAATGAGAGAAACAGTGTAATAGCTACATAATGTGTCAGGCGGAAAAAAATAATATAGATAGAAACAAAAATTCACAGGGGAATGAAAGAGTGGCCTGGAGCGATGGAGTTAGTCCACTGTTCCTGGAAGTGCACCACACTAATCTCTCCCCCAAAATTTCCCCTCCACTGGATGGCAGCGTGAGCATTGTTAGAGAGCTATTCCCCACAGATAGGTAAATCTTTTTTCCCTCTCTGCACTAAATGGCAACTAAATGTCAGACTTCTGTTCAGGTCCAAGTTCACCTTTATTGTCCTGTCTCATTTGCATGCTGAGGAGAGCTGGCAATAGGAGGAGAGATATGGACCACTGAGGAGAAAGGGTCCATTTGGTTAGTTCCACCGCTCTATTACAGCTATCAGCCCCCACAATCTCATAAAACACACCCCTGACTGGTTGCTCACTTGCAAAACAGGCAGCCTAATTCACAGCACTTAAAGCAACATTTCTATTTGGGCAGTTAGTGTGGAATGGCTCAGCACAGAAAGGCTTCAGTCTGATATCTGGGCGGCAGATGGGCAATAGGCAGAAATGGAAGAGCCCTACAGCGAGTGATGAAGCAAACGTGGAGGTAGAGAGAGCCAGAGTGAGATGTAATTTACGCTCCCGGAAAATGCCCCCAACGAGGCTCTTCAGTGCTTACGGGAGCCAAATTTGTTATGGGAAGCAATCTATACTTTATACCATGCCTAACCTTTGGATCATTTCCAAGTGCTGTCTCTTTCTCCATCGCCTGACGCTCCCTGTCCTTATTCTTTCTGTTGCTGTGTCTCTCTTAACCCTCCATCGTTTGTCTCATTCTCCCCCACTCTTTTATGTCTTCTTTCTCCTTTTCTCTTTCATTGTAGCTTTCAAACCCCTTCCTACTTCTTGCTCTGATTAGGCTTCATCGCGCTTTCCAAAGGGTGCAAGTCCATGTCTTGTGGGAGAGCAGACAGGGCGTCTCTGTTTAAATACTTAATGGAACTTAACAGGTAGTGCTGATCTGGTAGAATTGGGGTGAGAGTTGAAAGTAAGGTTTCTCAAAGCAGCGACCTCAACTACCCAATTAAGGCCACTCCGTGATTGAGGTGACTAACAACTGAAGAAAAGTTGTGTTGAACAAAAGTATTTGAACGATGTACCAGTGAACAGTGAAAGCGACTCTTTTGTCTTGAGTATTTCAGTCTAATCTTGGCATCATACAGAGACTGTTCCCCAAGGGAAGTGTGGGAGTCTTGATTGTGGAATCAATGTAATTACAAGTGATGGAAGTTGTAATGATTAGAAATGTGAAAAGGTGTTCAAAAGCAAACTTTCACATACATACATATCATGCCATATGCTTGAAAACATGAAAATATATGCCTTTTGTATTTGTTTTCTGTGGTCAAAAATGCAGGTTCAAGTACAGTATGTTCCTCACAGTTCTCGTTTGAGCATAGTTTACCTTCAGACAGGCTCATGAAAATATTGACGGAAATGTATTTAACTCCTTTTCAATACAAGTTTAATTGCGAGGTCTGCTATAGAAAATAATCTGACAGCCAATCACTTTGTCCACGATACTACAGTAGTGAATGTCTACCTACTTACTACAACACACTACCAGCACTTGAATTTATTTTACTTTTTATACACTGGAAAAATTATGAATATGCCGCCAGTTTTAAGTCTGTGTGAGACTGGTACTTGCATGGTTTTGCAGCTGAGGAGTTCTTTATCAACCACAAGCTCAAAGCCATGAGACAAATAAGCATAAGACCATAAGCATAACATTTTGAACATTGTGGCCATCTGACTCTCTGAGAGTCAAAATCAAGCTGGGAAAATGAACACCTGTCACACAATTACAACAGCAGAACAATCCATTTCAGAATTATAACTAATCAAAACTACTTTTGGAGCACCATGTCTGAGAGACTGAATGGACCGAGTATTCAATTCAAAAGAGAGAATCAGATATCAGGATGTAGATATAAAAGCCAGACTGTTAGGGAGTTTGCACAATGCCAAGCACCTTGGATGAAAGGTGAGTGAGCGCTCGTTCAAGGAGATTCTGTCTGCCACCGTGTTTCACCTAATTCCTATGTTGGATCACTTTGACTGTGTTTTTGATATCATTTGGAGAAAACTGCTGTGCAAAAGGAGGACAAAATCCAGCACAAGTGTGCACATTTTTGATGTTCATCTGTTAATGAATAGTCTCAGTTTACTTACAATAGATAGATGATTTGTTAGCTGATTGGATTTTGTTTGCTAGTTCTGATTCCATTTGGATTTGTAAGTGTTTTTAACAAAGTCAAGCCCACTAAATCCAACAATTTGTTTGTTATAATGTACCTGTTTATTAATAATGCAGCATCTGTGTTTTTTATCTTTTGTTTTTTTGTATTTGACTTGGACGAAACAAACCCAAAAACAAAGCATTCATTTGGTTCTTAGGTTGACGTGGTCTCAAAAGCTTAAGCGACCAAAATTTTTTGAATATATTCAAATTCATCCGCTTACCCTCAACTCTAAACAGTTACAAATCACAGTTTTACACCATAGCCTTAAGCCTGAGGTAACGTCTTAAGAAGGTTATCACATAGATTGCGTGGGACATAAAAAGGTATTGCTGCACCACAAAACATAATGCAAAAGATTTGCTCAAATTAAGCTTCCCCCCACAAATTTCAAAGGCAATGTTTAATATACTTGATCATTGTTCTTTTGCTCAGAGCTTTCCTAGCAGCTCTTGCAGAAAATCTGGCTAAGGTGGCAGCTTTTGCGCTTAATTATTTTTATAAAAAACATGTAGTGTTTGCCTGCCCTGAGGCCTTCAATGAAATCTGCCTTCATTATAATATTTGTAACAATGATACTTTCCCATAAAGCCACTTTTAAAAAAACATGTGATTGCCAAGGCCATGCTCTAATGAGAAGCTGTAATAAGTTCTGATCTCATCACAGGGGTTAACAGTGGATTATGCAGAGAGCTTCGAACTATGCTTTTAAAACAGTTAAAGCAGTCACACTGTTAGGGCAGAGAATAAAACCATCTCCTAAATTAACTCTCGGGTTATCTGACTTTCTAATGTGGAATCGCTTCAAAAGCAAAGTGAGGACATTTTCAATAAGAAAAATGTAAAGTGGAAGTGTTGGTGAGTCATTGCTAATGTGTTTAACAGTCTGGCTTCAAATGTCACTGAGGGCAAATACATAGACACAGATAGATTAAGTTTGTCTGTAGAGACAAGTGTGCATGCACATACATACCTCGCGTGCCATTGAAGAAGAGGGTCTGTCGGCGGGGATTCTGGATGACCACGATTGATCCATCGTAGTTCTGCAGGCGGCAGGAGATCTGGGCCGTACCTCCCTCCAAGACTGTCACATTCTCCGCCTGCACTGCCTGACAATGGGCTGAGGGACAGAAAGATGGACGTCAATATAGTGATAGAGAGAGTGGATGATGGAGAGGAAGAAAAAGAGAGAGAGAAGAGGAGAGGGACAAATAGGAAGAAATGATGCAGAGGAAGAGAGATGTTCAATTTGCGCCTCACTTGAGGTAGAACCTTTCAAAATAAGGTACTTAAAGCATCCTTCATTTACTTGCCATTCATCATATGGACAGAAAGGAGGAAACAGAGTGATAGAGATAACAAGACTGAGAGCGAAAGAAAAGACGCTGAAGGACTCAACAAGTAAAAAGGGGTCCTAATGAACAATGTGTGTTTTATGATTATAATAGGGATGATTATAATTACTGCCATTCATCTTTTTACGTGCACAAACACACACATGCAAACAGCCCTATTGCCTCTGGCTAGTCTAACAGAATGCTTCAACACACACATTTGAATACATAATGCCTTATTAAATCTCTAAGTGGCTGTTGCTCTAGAATATAAAACACACACCAGCACAAACACACACGATTGGACACACATAAATACAACCATGGGCACATATGGACGAAAACAAACTCACGCAAAGTCACAAAAACAGATCACAGTTTGGACTGCGGCCCCGCCACCACCTGGGTGGATGTTAATAGCTTAAACTGCAGCCTTATCGTAGAACTCTGAACAACTCTGTGAAAACGCTGGCCACGTACAGAGCTGTGAGACCATAGTGGCAGCCTTGAATGCACTTCACACATGCCATTTCTCATCCAGGTGCAAGCTAAACCAATTGCTTAAACTCCATTATCCCAATGTAATGGTTCTTATTATAGGTATTTGGAAAGTGCTAGGGGGGATAGCACACCAGCTTTGGCTCCTGCAAATGAATATGCCCATGCACAAGGGCACCTGTATGAACATCCGCGTGTGCTCCAGCAAGTACACACTCACCAATATGGATGCATAGACACATACAGAAATATGCATGTATGTGGAACGACATGCACACTCACAGAAACTTTCACATATTATCTTTTTCGAACAAACTTGTCTGGCCCCTAAACCCAATATTTTTAGACAAGGGGATGAGGAACAGCAGGGAGCCTCTTTGATGTTGCTGACAGCCCAAGAGTCAGTAATGAGGAGGTTGATTATGCTCTGATTGGAGCGCCCTCCATGTTTGTGGGTCAGGCTGTTGACACGGCTCCGTTGAGTCACACCTCCTGCTGAGCACAATGGACACCTCTGCCATGTGAATTCAAATGATTTATGCGCAATTAGCTGTACGGCTGTGGCCAGGAGTGGAATGTGATTGCCTTGAAGAGAGAACCAGCTTGCAGGGCTCCTCAAACTAGTATTTACCAATTTGCATCCCCATTTGCATTCTCTCTCTCTCCCTGGCAAAGTGTTAGCCGTGGGGAGGATTTAGAGAAAGAACGACATCAATATTGAAGCATGATGATGAAGCAGGCAATAAGGTGTGCCGATAAAGACGACAGGAATATATATTTCACTGCTGGGTCTAGCAGTGTCTCTGAGCTCTGTAAAGCAGGTAGGAAATGTTGTGAGACAAACAGATGGTGGCTGCCATAGCAGGAGTTGCTGACTTGACTGCTTTGGGCCAAAATAAATGTCTTTACCTGCAACTGAGCATGTCCTAACTTTCAGTAAGTGTGTGTGTGTGTGTGTGTGTGTGTCAGCATTGGGTGTGCATATGCAGGGGTTGGCATATTGCAATTAAGCTACTTTGACATCATCTGATCCCGCCAACTTCATCCAAATTTAATTCTCTCCTCGATTTTAATCTCTTTTAATGAAATACTCAAAGCCTACATATTCATCACATCGGGGGAAACAGAGAGACACAGTGGATATTGAACTGAAGACGGAAAGAAAACCAAGAGGGGATAAAGACAAAGGGGACTCTAATACTCTATGGAATAGAGAAAGAAATCTTGACAATTACCACTAATTGTAGTCATTATTGCTTCCATTCTCTGCATCAATATTGTGATTCATATCGAGGGCCATCAGGGCCTGCCACCGCCATCCCAATTATTTTTCTAATGGCTGTTATTACTCATCTCCGTGGCAACCAGGCTAGGCCGCCATTGTTTTAAACTGTTAATTGTAATAGTGCTGCTGTGCATCCTGACAAAGTCAGTGCAGCGTCTGTGTGTGATTAGTGACCCCTCAGAACCAACAGAGAAAGAGGACTTCAATGGGGAGAGCGACTGCAAACAAAGAAAGCGGTCAAAAGTTTGCTTCTGGGAGGAGGCCAGAAAAACTAATTAGCTATCCATTTGTACACCCACTTCTCCTGACAGCTGTCACCCCTTCAAAGGAAATTAGCTGCAGTGGCGTAGAAGTAAAGCGCAAAGAAAAGCGACAAAAGAAAAAATATATTAAAAACTGTTAACCGCTGTTTCGAGCGGGATGGCTGGCATCCGCTGTCGCCTGCTGAGAGATGCCACCCAGAAACACCTGCTAGCTGCTGGTGGATGATCAATCTGGGCAAAGAGAACAGAGGGATGGAGAGACAGTGGGGGAGTGAGGGCTCTAACCGGGAAATGATAGCAGGGAGCTAGGAAGTGATGGTTTGGGTATAATAATGCAGCTGGCAGGGGCTGGACAAAATATACGAGAGATGACGCATATTCCTCCATTCCCGCTCATAACGCAGCTGGGTACAGCACTTTAGTTTGACTGTGGATTTTATAGGCTTCACATCAAGGCCATGAGCCTGTGCTTCTGATCACCACTATAGTACCTACAGTACAGAGAGGGAGGGGAAGGAGGGAGAGGGAATCAACATCTGTGACAGAGGTATTAATCTGGCCTCCATTAAAATCTGTGCCCATAATAAAATACTCCACAAGCGTCAAATCACATTATGAGAGAATGCTGAGAGCAATCGATACCATGGTAGTGCACTGACGACTATGATCAACGGATAGATAAAACAGGAGGGGGAACAAAAACAATCACTTCTTTCTCCAACCAAGCGGGGGCAGTATTTCATAGCAGTCAATTGGTGCTTCTCATCATTTAAAATGCCGCTACCCCATGCTGTCACAGCCCCGAAAAAGAAGGAGCCTTTATTTACTACGGCAATAGAGATCTGAGAAGGGCCATCATTTCAAAATACATAAACAAATAAATAAATAATAAGCGTGCAAATTCATACGACAAGGCTGTTCAGGGGCCCGTCCTAATGGTCCCGCAATGGGGTTGAGTTATAAGCCGAGGGAGGCAGGGAATAGAGGGACAGAGGGAGGGGATGAAGGGAGGTGTGGAGAGTTAAAAGAGGGGGATTTGGGAGGCAGCCAGGTGGACTGCTGGCTCACCCTTGGTCACGGTAAATTCTAGAAACTGCCTCACTGGTGCAGGGTTAGCGGGCTGAATTACCGCCTTGCTGCGTCTCTCGCCCCCAGTTTCCCTCTTGCCTTATTTCTCTCTCTCCCCATGTCTCAGTGTGAGGAGAGGGGAAGATTGGACAAAAAGACAAGCCACATAAGAGATGAGCTGTCTCCATTTGCCCCAAACAAGCCCTCATGTATCCTTGAAGCTGTGCAGTCACTGTCTCCCTATTCATTATCTCTCATTATCTTTCAGTTGGAAGTGAGCCAAGAGCTTGTGTTGTCTTTGCATGCTGGCCACGAATTTACAAGGGAATCGATGCAGGAGACTACAATGCACAACCCCTTATGTTATTACTGCTTTAATTAAAACAATAACAGCAGCTCATAGTTTCCACTCTTAAGGGGTCAACCGTTGGCAAGTTCTCCATCTCTTCCCATCTGGATGTACATTTTTTCCTGCTATCCCCCGAGTCTGCGAGTCGAGCCCGTTTCCACAGTATGTATGCAAATTAAGTTTGCAATGTTTATGTGTGCGAGAGGTGTGTGTGTGTTGCTCCAGGTTAATCACAGAGTTTTGTGGTGTACTGACTCTATGAAATAGCTGACTGTAAGGTTCTTCTTCTCCATACCTCCCTCTGCAGACCCACAACTCTACCCCATTCCCTCCCCCGTTCTCTTCCCAGTCTAAAATTATCACTCCATCTCACTCAGGGAGCCAGATCTCTGCCAATCAAAACCAGTGCAAAGAAAAAAAAAGATGCTCCCTCTATAAATAATACATAATCCTTTACAAATCTCGCTTTCATCTCTCTCATTACCTTCGTTCTGTCTCTTTCTCCTGTCCTCCTTTTGTTCCCTCTCCTCCACTTAGCCTTTCTTCACATTTTTGAGCGACCCCCCCCTCGCTTCCACTTAGTCCACAACTCATAATTCTCTCCTCCTGCTGCATTCGTGTCTAATCTCATTCTCACCATCTCCCTATTTCTCCTTTTATTTAAACCCGCAGTCACTCCATCCCGCCCTTCTGCCTAATCCAGTCCTCGATTCCTCCGCGCTTCATCAGTCCATTTTCCTTTCTTCCTGTTTTCTTCCTCCTTCTCTTCTCCCTTATCTTGTATTGCATCTTTCATCATGCTTCTTCCTCATCAGCGTTGTCCTAAAGATTCCTCTCACTCTATTCTGGGCCTCCAGAGAATTGTTTCAATTCCTTCTTTCTCTCCCCCCGTTAGCTGCAATCTCTTCACTCCTGTCCTTCGTTCTTTCCTTCTTTTTCTCCCCTCTCCACCCCCCAACGCCGCCGCAATAGTTTCCTTCCAAGCTACAATAGGCTTTCATTCTCCTTGCAATCTCTCTCATTCTTTCTCTTTTTGTGACTCAGTGGGAATCTTTTCCTGCCTCTCTGCTGGTTCTATCTCCACACTCTCCTTTGCTAAATGTGATTTGTTCTGCAGCTCAAGTCTGCAGCATAATCGTGCTGTTTTTATAGTGTGCTGGGAGAGAGGAAGAGAGGGAGTAAGGAAAAGACAGAGAAGAAGTGGAGGGAGTGAATGGGACAAGAGGACAAAACAAATGAGTGGAGCAATATACTGAATATCTCCATTTTTCCTCCCTCTTTCATCTACTTCTCTACTTTTGCTTCTTTTAATTGCCAGTTGCCCAGCTCAGCTCTCTCTCTCCACTTTCAATCCTTCTATTTCTCTCTCTCCCTGTCTTTCTTAATCTCTCTTTGGCAAAGAACTTCAGAACCTCTCTCATTTGACTCTCTCTCCATCACCCACTGGTGTACTGTGAGCACTGTACTGCTAATCAGCAAAATCAGCATAAAATTGTTTCAGTTCACCCTTGACCTCTCATTAGAAACATTTACTTTCATTTATTTATATATTTCATGTCCTGTTTACCACCCTGACTTTGCTCCCCAGTCACACTGCCTGCATCCTCTGCATTGAAATCTGTTGTCTTCTTCCTCTCATCACCTCCACCTTTCTTGTCCTTTACCTCCTCACCTGCCCCTCTCCCCACTCCCATATCTATAGTTTTGACCTTCATATCTTTTTATTTCTCCAGCCCTTTGGTGTATTTCAATCACTCATCCTGCTTTTTTCCCTCTCCTACTGCTTTGCATCTCCCTGAGTGCTCTCCTCTCCTCTTGTCCACCCATCACGTTACTCATGCTGCTCTCTTATTCACCTCTTCTTACCCTTCACAAAGCAACATCTCACCATCTCGCTTTCCTTTCTACCCTCTTTCTAACAGTTAAAGCTGGTTAGCTTTATCTGCTGTGCAGCGTTTTATGGCCCGGGTCTGTCAACAACCCTACAACAATGGCCACCACACACACCCCTAACGGCGGATTAAAGGAAATTTACAGGACTATTACGCGATGGCTACCACACTGGAGATTCACCACAGCCAAAAGCACTGGTCGTAACACCCCTACAAAATCCACCACATGGCAGCCTTCCCTTTAGTTAGGCTCTGTGGCACACGTGTGTGTGTGATGCTGATGAGTGTGTGTGCATGCATTTAAAAGCAAGATTGTCTGTATGCTTGTGCGTGCACATTCAAGGCCCAACACAAAACTGCCCTACTGGCATGAATTACATAACCACACACTGACTGCCAAGACACAAACTCATTCTTCCACTGTATCCCTCACATCCCTATTGTCACTCCCACTCAGCCCCCCCCCCCAAACATCCCACAAAACACAATGTCCTTCTGTTGATCTAATATGCAAAAAAAACCCCGGCTCAGAATTGAGATTTTGGCTGGCACAGAGGAGATGGTACTGTGCACAGCAGAACAACACTTGTTTACCAATGAGCAGCAGGGAAAAAAACATCTCCCTGTATTAAATGCATAATAATAATGGCATGAGGTATTAATAGCACCTAGCAACTCTGCCACTGATCCGGACTCCAATTCAGGTACTGCTTTCTCCTCACCATCTCTGCATCTGTGTTCAATCAATCTCGTGACTCTTGGTTTCAAATCTCGACCTCACGCAGCTCTTTTTGAGGCCTTGTCTCGCGATTTATCTCTGTACCCCTCCCCTCCATCTCTGCCTTTCTTGCACACACACACAGACTGTGTTGTTCTCCATCTCTGTCTCGCTATTTCTCTTGTTCTGCCTCTGCTGCTTGCTCCCTCCCTCCCTCATATACAGTACAAGTTCCTATCTGGCCACATTCTTCTTTCCTTGTGTCAGTCTGTCTCTCCCTCAATATATATTGGTCTCTTGCACTGCACCCACCCCATTCTCTTTCTATTCGACATCCTCACCATTTGGCTCTCTATATCTCTCCTACTCTGGGGTCCAACTTTCTTTTATTAGGTTCTTCAGAGGAAAGCTGAGAACAAGGCTTCAGTCACTCCTATATCTCTCTTTCTTCCTCTGTTTGCATTTGTGACTCTTTCCCTTTAATTTTTTTGGTCCATCAGTCCACTCTCTTTCTTTGCCTGGTCTCTCATTTCCCGGTACATTCACCTCCTGGGCATATGCTCCTGCCTTCATATTCGCTCTAGTCTTAATCTTAATTACCAATTCTAACTTAATTACCAGCATTTTGAACAATTCATCTGAAGCTCTAATTTCGTGATTCCATTGCGAGCTAGTCCTCCCTTGGTCATGTGCTGGGAACTGCACTGGATCTCATTCTGTATCAATTTACACCAATTAGTATCACATTCATAATTGTGTTGTCTTTTTTATATAACAGACGGATCAGATTGCAGTATTTAGAGGTAGATCTGTAGGGAGTTTAAATTAAAGGAACAAGTAGCTTATGCTTACATAAAATTGCCACATCCTGGCTATAATATGTAATGAGTGTGTACATGTGAACATTATGTGCTTGTTTCCCTGAATTTTTGGTGTGTAATGACACCCGTGTTTCCTTCTTTAATCGATACTACACGTCTCATTTAATCTGTATGTGTGTGTATGCACATGTGAGTGTTCATGCGTGCATGACTTACGAGCGATGCAGAGCAGGACCAAGACCAGGCTGCGCAGGGCCAGAGAGAGAGGGGCAGGGAGGAGGCGGCAAAGGACAGAGCTCCGGACAGGCCTCATTGTGTATTGAGAAGCTGTGTGTAGGGATGTGTGAACGTGTGTGTATGTGTGTGTGAGGATGTGCACGTTTGATCAATGGTTCCTCTGTGACCCTGCCTGCACTGCTACTGACAAACTAGTCCACACACACACACACTCTGATTTGTTCTCAACTGCAATGCTGCAGACACGTGCACACGCTAACTGCCCAGCTTTACTTTAGTGCAATCAGACAGTAGTTGTTGTTTGAGGACAACACTTAAAGAAAGGACGCACTATGTACTACACTGCATGACAACACATACAAAGAAACTGCTTTAGCCGCTAGGTCACATAGAACTGAATTGTAGCCAGAGCTTGCATGCAAAACACAGAAGTCTGACCAGCTCAGGGCGCTAAAAGAGCTAGTGATTTAGACACACAGAGATGAGTTTGGAGCAACAAAAACTTCCACTGTTGACTTTAGCACCTTGTGCTGTTTAGAGAGACTTTAAAACATGCATTGTCTTAAATCCATACAGTGCAGAAGTTTTGCTGCAACAAAGCATTACGGGGGCCCAGTCCCATCTAAGCAAAAAGGCTGCTAGGATAGCTATTTTCTACCACAGTGCTCTGAGTCTCTTGAGACCAAAGCCCAAGACTCTGAGATCAATAAACCAGAAAACCAATACCAAAAGTTACCAAAGCAGACCTGCTATACTGTGTTCTTTACCAGCTAGGGTATTCAGTAATGGCAGCTATGCAATTAACCAAATGAGCAACAACTTAATTAGCTCAACTGTGTCAAAACCCAGAGCCAGTTCTGAGCACCAGACTCTTTAATAATGAACCACAAAATGAACCACAACAACAGGCTTGTCTCCTGTAGGTCAAACCACACTGCTCCAAGGAACAGAAAACATCAATGATACTATATTTCAGTCAGTTACAGGCTGAGAAACTATTCCAAAGCAAGTCAAGTTTATCTCTACTGATGTTGACTGAATGTTTACTTTTGAAACAGAGCTACCTACATTGCCATGCCCTCGAGGACAGAGAAATCTAGGGCAACAATGCTCATTCTCGAACAGATTGTATTTTAATGAGTCAAAGAAGTTTTTCTGCACTTCTCACCCAACAAACCGGCAGGCAGGAGTCAATGTTCCCTTGAGCTATAACTGAACCGGCCAGGCCTCTGGAGAGATGGAGACACTATCTTGCAACTCATCTAGAGATAGCTAAGGTTAAATAAAATCCATTGAGCTTGAGTGTTGGTCTATAAAGACAGAGAGTGGAAGTGCTTGCCCTGTGAAGAATAACCAACTTGCAAGGGGTTGAGCAAACTGCAGGCCTTAGTTTTACATATTACACTTTTTCGTCTGCTATTTTTCCTCAGAGACTTGCACATTATTCTCACAAGGTATCTACCATTAGTCGCTTGAATGCTAGTGCTCTTTTGATATGCTATCATGTATACACTGTAGCTTCAATGGACAGTGATTTTACATGGTAATTTTAGACTCAGAATAATCACAGGCTATCAGACAGTATAATCGTGCAGCATCGACCTGCCTAACGTTTCCTTTCCAACATGCTCCACTGGGTACAGTCAGTCCTTGGGTGCACTCCTGATACACACTCACTCATACACACTGATCTGAAAGCCTGCTGTGTTTAAGATCCTGACAGAGTTCCACTGATTGTCAGGACCTAATGCATCGTCGGTTTCAGGGAGTGTGTAGCTCTCGTATGTTTGTATGTGTAAGTATGTGTGTTTAATATGTGTGTGTATGTGTGTATGTGTTTGTATTGCAGAGACAAAGCGTGACGAGCTGCACCACACACCTCACTGAGCACTATCTGATGGAATAAAGTGCGGGTGTCATCCTTAGATTGCTACACACTGCCCGCTCTCTCTCTTACTTGCTGTGCCACTGCAAACACAATGAGCTCTAACGGCAATGGCCCTGACACTTCTGGCAAAGCCGAAAGCGGATCATCGCCAATCTTCCCTACAGCGCCGACTTCACCGGTCAACTGGCTGACGCTGAGAAAATTACTCTGTGTTAGTGTGCACCCGCAAGTTGGGTCTGACGCCTGGCAGCAGACAGACGGAAACGGAAAGTCTTTTCACTTGTTCAAATTGATCTCCTCAAATTGTGTTTAGTGTATCCATTCTGCCCTCTTTCTCTCTCCTCTTCCTTCAATCCTGCAGTCACTCCGTAGCAGCTTGTTAGTTCCAACAAGTTTGCCCTCCTTTAGCCTCACTTCTTTCCCATCAATCTGTGAAAATTGCTATAATCCCAATATGGTATCGTTGTCGATCACATCCATCTGTCTATCTGTTTTTCTGCCTTCCACTTGTTTATATAACCCTGGCCACCCTCCCCTTGCTTTCGAATGTGTGTGTGTCAGTGTGGGATCAGTGTCTGCATATTTTGCATACTTTTTTGTGAAGGTTAGAGATGAGTGTGTGTGTGGATGGAAGCAGTGACAATGGTTGTCTTTCAGGTCAACAAACAGTGACGGCGTGTGTGTCTGAATGTGCTTGCCTGTCCAGTGCTGACTGAAGCAGAGTGTACATTTGGCTGTCTGTCTGGTCCTTTCACTATCTACTACCCATTAATTTATCCATGCAGGCACACACAGAGGCATCACAGTGCCTCTTTATGTTAAATGGCCGTTTTTATGGCTGCAGGGATGCGCACGGCTGTCTGCTGACAAGAACTATGTACATGTTTGTGTGTGGCATTTGTAAGTGGATGTGGATAGAGCAGAAATGAATGTGACTCTGACTGTGTTGTGAGTTATGCTGATGTGAACCTGGCTCAATAAAAAGGTATCAGCCCCATATTTTTACACTGTTGAAACAGAAATCATTGCTAACAGCTAGTCAAACCTCACACCTGTCAGTATATTTTGCATCAACTCTTCGTACATAATGCAATTCTTTTGTTCATGCTCATTGCCACATGTACTATCATTACTGCTACTGGCAGTAAAACTAGCAATAAAAAGCCAGTGGTGGAAGCTAACTACACTAGACTCTGCATCTATGACTTTCATTGTCCTGTAAAACGTGAAAGGCAACACAGTTTTACTATAATAATAGCACCTCTACTTGTTCTTAATCAACTGATCATAAACTATCAGTTCTAATCTGCCACAAGCTGTATTTACAAACAACTTTATGCATTCAATTTGAAACATGCTGTTCCCTATTATCAAGTCAAATAAAGTCACTTTTATTTATCAAGTGCTTTTAACAAAATAGGGTCATCACAAAGTGCTTTATAGAGCAACAAAGGACATAATTACAGACAAAAAGAGGAACACATTGCAAACATTGCACTACTGGTGAGTGTGTGTGTATTTGTGTGTCTACAAAGTCCCTGTGTGGGCAACCCCCTGATGGGTATATTTGTTTTTGTCGCAGTGTGCGGAAGAAGGGAGGTAATGGCAAATTGTGTCCCCTATCCCCCTTCCTCTTTTTCTCTCTCTCCCTCTCATCCAAATCAAATTTTTAATGGGCTTCATTGGTGCCACCGTGGAATAAGTGTTGCCAAAGCACTTAAGGGGCTTAAGTCAGCGGCGTGCTGAAAATATTAAGCACTCAAACAGCCTTACAAGGATCCCTGCCTGCTTAAGTATGCCGAGGAGGTCGTGCCAGCATTTAATACCAATGGTATTAAAGCACTCCGACAAGGGAGAGGAACAGAAATATAGATATATACAGTATGTACCACAACTGGGAATAGATGGAAAGATGGAGGCTGATGGGAAGAATGGAAAGAGGCAGTGGAGGCATGCGGCAGGGACAAGGGAGAGTAAAAGGGAAGGAGGGAATTACAGGCGACAAGAGTAGTAGTGAGGTGAAGAAAAGAGTGCAACTAAAGACAAAGGAGAGAAAAGGAAAGTAAAAAAAGGGTGAGACAGTTGTAAAGAGTCAAAGGAGGAAAGGAGAGGAGGGAATGAAAAAAAAAACATGCAGTGTAGAGGAGGAGAGATGTGAGGGAATCGGGCCAAGGTGTGGGAGGTAAGGGTTGATGGGATAGCTGTGAACCAGCAGCACAGGGCTAATGCAGAGATTCTATCGGGAGGCTTATCCGAGATTAAATTCCTCTTTGTCCTTAAGGCGCTTCTTGGGTAAGCGGAAGTGTCGAATTTATTTCTTATGTCTCCCTTGAGGTTGTGCAGGCGAGTGGGTTGGGAGAATGTATGTGTATATGTGTTTGTGTGTGTTTGAGCATGTTATTGGGGGTACATGTATATGTGTCTGTGTAGGCGTGAATCTTGAAGGTTTATTAGTTGGCAAAGTGTAAAGGCGGGCATGTGTTCCTGAAAGGTAAAGATAAATCAAATCTCCCCGAAGGGTGTTTCAGCATAAGTGTACATTCAAGGAGTGTGATTGCATTAATGTCGGTATGGGAACATATACATATAGATATTCATGAACATAGATTGTATATACTAGTATTATTGTATATAGCATAACTTCTTTTTTATAAAGTTTGTTTTATGGAGCTGCTACAAAGTCCCACAATACTAGATAGTTTAATCACTCACAGGAAAGTATTATCCGAACTGTCCTTATTGAGTAATCTCCTTTGGGATTCTCTCCAGTGTAAGCTAAATTCACTTTGTAACACTTTGCAACTACTGTTTAAGATGCTGCAGAACCAACATGCTTGATTCCTTAATTTTTACAAGTTTTTTTATAAAAACATATATTGACCCAGGTCTGAGTACATTCAGTACAGTTGGCATGTTCAGTCCCCTCCATGGCCCTCTGCTCTCCTACTCCTCTTGTTTTTCTGATTTCTTGTTTGTCTGGCTGACTTGGTGTTAATAGCTAGCCTAGAGCCATGCACTAGCTAATCCAACTTGGTTCGCTCTGAACTCTCTAATTAGAAAAGTCACAGCTCCTCGATCTATGGACATTATCAGTGACTGCACTTTCTGGAGGCACAGCTCAGGCTACTTCCTGCTCACCTCACGCTCCTGGGCAAAGGGATCAATACGGCCCAATCATTTGGGTAGATTTTGAGTGACACCACCAGTCTTTCTTCACACAATTTAGGATTACAAAGTTTTGATTTTCTTTATTTTTCATAGTCTGTCAACAGTGGAGCCTGGCAAATAAATAAAAGTCAATATGGCTCACATTATGGCAGGCTAATACAAAATCACACAGGATTTGAATCACTGACTTTCTGAAATTACATGGTTGGCACGTGAATGCATGAGCAGGCCGTGTGTTTTTTCATGTACTCTTTATACTTATAACTATACCTTTCTCTGTGTTTCTACAATAAACCAGGAGATTAAACTCACTTTCTAGCAGATAACAGACATGGCACTGTCTTTTCACTGGTTTTATAGGGTGCAAGAAAAGATATAAAGGTACTGTGGTAGCCATTGTAGACATCCTATTATTAGTCTCATCCCATTATGCATTTACCATGCATCAACCGTGCATTATTCTTTCGAGCCTGGCAAAGAAGTGAGTGTGCATTTTAAAACACACTCTCAAGTGACAGACTGCAAGAACTGAAGATGGAGAATGCTATTGATGGCTGTTGCTACTGTAATTGAATAAGCCAGTTGAAGCTCAATACTTAGTAGAAATGCTCTTTTTTTTGTTTAATTCACTGTTTTGAGTTAACTTAATCAGATAGAGCAGTTATTTAATAAAAACGGAACTCTTTCTTAGATGCACATGCTTTCATCCTGAATACTATCAGAAATTTCCATCTTGGGGTCATACCCAATCAATGTGAGCCAGATTTGCAATTTGTATCCACAACTAATTCTGGAGAATCTTCCTCTTTTGTTCCAAAGAGGAAGATTCAAGAGGTTTTGATTACCAATTGGTACAAATAATGTTTTTTCTTTAGGATAAGATTTATATTCCCTGAGTATATTGTTGTTCCACAGGAAGGTCTGACATAAGTACAACATCCATAATCCAGATATATATTTTTATATTGAACACATGTGGAAACATTTCACAGCAAGAACACAGAACATTTCAGCTTAACTTTCACTGGCAATGTGTTTGTTTTGCTTTCCCTACAATGCACTTGGTTAAGGTGAGTACAAGATTGTGGTCTGGATTAAAGATAGATCAACAACTGCTTGAAGCATGAGATGCGATGCATTGACTTTTTCTGTATTTAAGCAAAACCATAATCTTTACCTAACCTTAAGTAAGCGTTTTAGTAGCCTAAACCAACCAGCGCACCACAGCATACAAACCCTGATCTCCGGTGTCAGACCATCTGTTGTAACCTCCTCCCTGTGACTTCTGTGCTACTTCCTTGACTGGTAAAACCTTGCCTGTAAATGCAATCCTGCCAGCAATTACTTTCTCTGCAAAACGTAATTTGCCTAGCAAATTAGTATATGTATTTTGTGAGCGACAGGGTTGCATTGTGAATGACTAAAAAGGCCCAGACATTTAGTTAGAACAGATTTTTTTTTTTTTTTTTAATTCAAGGTTCAGTTGAGAAAGACAACAGAATTCAAGGTAGCTGTAGATCTTCTCATTCTCTCAGATAAGAGAACTGCAGGATACAATATGTAAGCGTAGGCCAACAAGGCTGAAAGCTTTTCAATACAGACATGACACCACTGGCCCTCGCTGTTTCTATATATGCATTATTAGGAAGATCCACAGTTTAAGTATGAGAAGACATTACAGGCATATTTTATGCATGCTCACCCACCCCATCCTCCCCACCAGAATGCTAAGCTCAGTCATCCTTATTCACTAAGATAAATGCAAACAGTGTTACCTGCCAAGTTGAGAAGGTACTGTCAGAGCTTCCTAACGAGTGTTTCTGTGTGCGCTGTGAACCACATGCTACACAGCTACCTGCTGGGAGTAACACTCATTATCAATGTGGCATCATACCTCCCAGTGACAGGCTAAGACTCTCTGCTCACTGTTTTCTCTGCTGCAGTGCATGTGTCAGTCGCTCTTCTTTGTGTTCCTGGTGCATGTGCAAACATTTGTGTGTTAAGCATATGGAATCCTCCTTTGTTGTGTGACAGATTGGTTGTCACTGTGCCTATATGTGCATGCACCACTTCACTTTCTTGCGCTTTACTTTCTAGGTATATGCAATGTGTGATGTGTTACTGATGAGAATATCAACCTGTCAAGGCCGCAGCTTATAATGTTTGATTTTTGTGCGCTCTGCGGGAGGATGGTTTGTATATTTCCATGTGTATGTACAGCTGGAAGTGGGGTCTGGACCAGGTTAGCTGTGCGCTGTTGTGGGATATAGTGTGGGTTATTAGAAATGAGCAGCTATGTGCCACCTCGCCAGG